ATAGGAACTGGACACCCTGTGTTTGTGTTTGTCTATTCATCATACCATCTGAATCTACAGATTGCATTGAATACCCCAAAAAATTCCCTACCTATATCAAGCCACCCTAGAAAAATGCTTCCCAAATGTTTCTACCCCAAAAAGTCTCAGAAGCTAAAAATGTCAAACCCAAATATTCCTTCAATCATGTCTCTGTCATTTAGCTTGAAATCTGGTGTACCACTCCCCTCCTCTTCGATTTCTTAAATAGTAAGGATACAAGGAAAACATGTTTCTGTTTCCAGTTAATTGTTGAGAGAAACAATCTTTGATGATAATAATGAAAAAAAAAAAAACAAGTGAACCAATACAATGATGTAGACATGTTAAGTGTGCAATGATGGGCCTGTGGTACACTTAATTACCAACCATGTACTGCTTTAACATGCACAGATGAAAGGTAATAATGTTGGCTTAACGTTTACAAACTCTGCTTTACTATTAAAAATTTAGCTAAAATAAAGCTACAAATTATTCATTGAAAAGAAAACTTAATAAGCATTGCAACCTACTCCCAAGAAGTGCCCTTTCTTTTAGCTGAAATATGTAACAAGAGCCTAGGCGCTTATAAGAGGAAACCAGTAATAGATTAGTTGTATTCTAATGAGCCTATGATTCTGCCATTTAGTTTCTAATAGTCCAACCCAATGATAGACCTTCAACGGGCCATAGGAATTTGGTGGTATTAACCTATTCATATCTGATCCACCCATAACCACACATTTTATGGATCCACATTCCTTCAACATTTTCACAGGTGAATGGGTTCACTTAAAGCATGTGTTTGTGATGAAATGTCATAATATTATTATTCTTTGCTTCACAGTTACACTGTACATTATCACATTCAGAATTTTTCACTAACATTTCTAGTGGTGATTGGCCGGTTTATGAGGTGACTCATCCATCCTAATGCATCAGAAAGTGGCTCATATATCAAGGCTAGTATTTTTTCTGGTTTTTAGAGTGGGGGTGCTATTGTTGTCACATACTTATTTGCATGGTGAAAACAATAGTCCACAGTCTTCGTTTTACATTGACTCCCCCAAGACTTGACTATGGTTGGGCAGTGGAAAAACATACATTTTTTTTGCTATTTCTTTCGGGCCTGTTTAACTAACTTGTGCTTATTCAGATGTGGTTTTAAAAATTTCTTCCCCTACAGAAAATCAGGTGTAAAAGTTGTCTACATGAGCTCAAAATCTAAGTAAAATACTAGTAAATACTAGTCATCTTCCAACACTCTTTATAACCTCTCATTTCATTAATTTGATCCCTACAGCTAGTGTATATATCACAGCTCTTATGGTTAACAGCTTGGTTCCTTTGTTAAATTTGTTTGTAAATTATTTTTCCAATGAATCCAGTAAGTCCTTGAATAAGCTGCAAAATCACCCAAATATGTTCATGTTGGAATTTTATAATGGAGTCAAGGGCTGCATCAACAAAGCCTTTTTGAGAAATAGAAAGATATTATTGTATATGAAGAATCATGTTTACTGTATTTGCAAAGCATGACCAAGTTTCTGTCATTTGCCGTTATCGTGTTTCAAAATCTCTCTCAATTGATGTGTGGCAATTTCGCAGGGACAAATCAAAACGGCCGTAATAAACAAGGTTGCCGAAAAAACTCGGTAACCGTAATTTGCAAGACCCATTTTCTTCAGAGTCACGCGATCCGTCTGCGTGTACTCGACTGCAGAAAGATCAGCGCTTGCAGATGCCTTAGGGCCTATGAGAAAAGTAATAAGGTGCTTCTTTTCTAGTCAAACGTAAAAACTTCAGAGAGGCCTTGTGAATTCAAAGGAACAAAGTAAGATTATAAATTCGATAGGCTCACCTAAACTTCGGGAATTCCGCAACGAAAATGCAGCCATGTGCAGGCCATCTTCACTACAATTTCGTCACAGCTACATAATTAAAAACTTGGTGAGAAGATTGAGTCAGCCCATGATTGCTAGACCGATAAAAACAGCTAGAAGTTTGCAAATTCTTCACGAAATTGGACAGATTCTCCCTCACCAGTACAGGGAAAGAACTTCCGCCTCAGTTTATCGTGCAAGAATGTTTTAATTGGTCTAACGCTGACATGTGACGTGTCACGTGAATAATAAGCAAATTTTGCAAGACTTTGATGCAAGGACAATGGATGCATTCTAATTGAATACGAAAAAAAGCAAAAAGCATAAAATGTGACAATAACAAACAGCAAAAGAATACACAGCTTCTCGCTGCGGGCCGTAATGATAGCCCAATGAGCTAGGGGAGCACTCAGCAAAGTGTTATACGAAGAGGGTCCGCCAACCTTTCCGCCCCCCTCCCCTTATCCTTTGAGATACCGTTTTTGACAGAAAAGGTACCCTTCTATCCTTTTATCGACAAATGACACCCCCTCTAACTGCTGTAAATGCTCTATTTTTTGCAGATCATGATTAAATCCCTAAATCAGGAGGTATTTGTGACTCTTTTAGAGCTACAAAATACATCTGTTATTTATCCCTTTTGATTTTCCGTACTCTTCAATATACTTCTACTCGAGAAATCCCTACCCATTCGTACCTGAAGCCTGAACAAAAAATCTTATTTTCAAGCGGAAGCCACACCTCCCCATATAGGCCATTATAGGTAGAACACCCCTTTTGAGTTTTTACCAAAGTGGCAAATGATGAAACAGGAAACCCAACCGTTCCTTTTGATATCACTCCCTTCTCGTTGACACCCACAGTGACAACTGGACAAAAAAACAGGACGAGATTCCTAGCTCTTTTTGCAAAGCAGAGAGACTTGATTACGCATCCTTCTAAATAGAATGGATTTGTATTGTTAAAAACTAAAGATATACGAGCCTTGATCGTAAGCTAGTTCCAGTCTATTACCGTGATTCAGAATGAATGAGGGGTGTTGGATACGACACTACGGTCAAACGTCTGAGCATGGACACAAGACCAAGCATTGCAGGCTCATAAAAACGAGCATTTGAGCTAAGACAACGATTTTTTGTGTATATCCAGTAGGCTATCACCGCTTTTTAAAAAACCTGTCTCGGTGGTCCGGCCTCGTTTGAACCAGGGCCTCCAACCCAACAATCAGGTGACTTACATTTGTGCTGAACAAGTCGTGGGTTTTAAGTTATTTACGTCACCGTAATTTCACACTCCAGAAACTGTTAGGGGAATGGGTACAAGTTCTCGGTGCAAAAATTTCTGGGATCCTTTGGGTCAACGTTAGTTAGTTTTCCATAAGTCGATGGTATCCAAGGCAATCATTAACCAATCATAGGTAACGCTGGTCCACCCAAACGATCCCAAAAATCTTTGCGCCGAAGGCTCGTACCCATTCCCCTTATAGTTTCTGGAAGGGAATAATTTCTCGTTTGGACAAGGAAAGTGGAAAAGCATCCTAGGAAATCTAACCTGGTTTAAGTGACTTTAACAGGACAAACCCCGGCCTTCATACTACAGAGTCACTAATGAAACCGTGCTTAACTCAAGTTCTATGTTTTCAATCTACACACAAAATCTAATTAACCAGACAAACGTAATATCTGTTGGTTAAATTTAATACTTAGAGGGTGGAGAGGGCAAGTGTTAATCTGAGGAGAGTCACTGACTATAACTCTGACTGACCACATAATTTTGTCCATCAACGCCGGATTCTTCAGGGAACAATTATAATTTTGAGTGGAAGCAGATAAGCTTCCTCCTTGAACAACATTTGATAGCACTAATGGTTTGAGACAAGAACAATGCAGCTTTCGTTGTGACAAAAACAAAGGTAATCATAAATAATCGAGAGAAGGAGTGAGCAGGGGAGGTAATCCTGTACCCAGATCTCCCACGGCGTAAGACTGAGATCTGAGCACGAAATCAGGGGAAGGGTCAACAAAAAAGTGTTTCAGAAAGAAAAAGATGTGGGATATTTGTGGATTTTGACCAAAGTGTGTCTTGCAATGCACCAGTGAGCGGTCCCCCCTCTTCTTGACTTCCCAACTATCCCCCACCGTTACTAACCACTGGGCTCTTAATACGACTTTTGCGCATTGTTTCTCAACATTTTCAAGACAATTCAGGGGTTTTAGTCTAGTAGGGTGATGGTGACTCCTCCAAAAGCAACGTTTGCCAGCTTGTATTCGAGGCTCACGAATTTAACTGTCCACACGGAATTCGACCTCAAGCTATTTAAGAGGGGTCTTTCAAGGTCGCGCTGACAATTTAGAAATAACCTAAAGAGTGTTTTCAAATAACGTCACGTCGGACAAATTGGTGTCCTAAAAGAGTGAAATGGCGGCTATGTTTGCATCTCAAACGAATCCTGTGGGAGTTGAACCTTTTGTTGCACAAATTTTCTTTTGTTCAATGAATTTGTAAAGCTGCTAGCCACGTGAGTGAAAACGCTCTACATTAACAAGAAATTTCTCAGCATTTGTACTTTGCAAATTTCTTTAATTTAAAAACCTAACTATACAATTCTGAGTAACGAAACTTGTTGCGTTTAATGCTAAAAATAGTAAGCATTGTTCTCTTTTCCTTGCTTGTAGCAAATGTTCATTGCATCCACAAACCAGATGCAGGTGATTCACACCAATCGCCCTCGATTGGAAGATATTAAGCTACACTACATTATAATTAAACGTACGTTCTTCGAAACTAAATTACATCCCCCCCCATTAATATGTCATTATCATACAAACTTCATAAAAGTACAATTTTCTCTAATGGAAAACATGCAAAGTTTTCATTTCTATCAAACTTAGCCTCGCTGAGTTTTAAGTCCGAGTGAAAGCGAACTTAAGCAACGAGAATGTTGACGTCCCGGACGTCATAAATAGCAACCGGAAGTCTCGCTTGATGGAACGCTTCTGTGGCACACAATGGATGTAATGCCTTTGTTTAGAGCGCTGAAAGGCAAGAAGTATCAACTTCCGGTTGTCAGTTTTGACTTCCAATACGTCAACGTTCTCGTTGCTTTAAGTTCCCTAATAATTTTCAATTACGACATTAATTTCATCAAACTCTAAAATCAAACAACTAGCCATTAATGTTGTATTAACCTTGGTCACACGGGACCAAATGACGTACAAGTCACAACAATCAGTTACAATATTTATCAAACTCTAAAACTACTAGTAACTCATGGTCTCACTGGACCAGATGGCGTACAAGTCACAACCATCAGTTAAACAATATTTATCAAACTCCAAAACTACTAGTAATTCATGATGTATTCACCTTGGCCTCACTGAACCAGATGGTGTACATGTCTCAATCATCAGTTACAATATTTATCAAACTCTAAAACTACTAGTAACTCATGTTGTATTAACCTTGGTCACACTGGACCAGATGGTGTACAAGTCACTATCATCAGTTACAATATTTATCAAACTCTAAAACTACTAGTAACTCATGTTGTATTAACCTTGGTCACACTGGACCAGATGGTGCACAAGTCTCAATCATCAGTTACGATATTTATCACACTCAAAAACTACTAGTAACTCAGGTTTTATTAACCTTGGTCACACTGGACCAGATGGCGCGCAAGTCAATCATCAGTTACGATATTTATCAAACTCTAAAATTGCTGGTAACTCATGTTGTATTAACTTTAGCGTTTAAGATACCCAATGAAATTACAAAAAAGACTTTACAAGAACTGTGAAATGGAACTTCAGCCTGAATCGAGCATGAAAGACTAAAAACAATGGTAAAATTTCAAAATGAAGACACAAATTAAGAGGATACCGCGCGAATTCCCTTTTAGTTTAGACTTTGGGATCTTTTTGACCATTATGGAATTTCGGGCGACATGACTCAAGATAGCGGGCGACATGATAAAAATTTCGGGCGACGTGACTCTGGTTTCGGGCGATATGACTCCGGGCGAGATGACTTTCGGGCGACTTGGCCGTAATTCTACCGCGCTACCGTGTACCTTGCCTTTGATTCTTTCAAAACAAAGGGTACTTACCATTTACATAGGAAATCCGGAAACTCCCCCTGAAAAATCAAATGGCTCGCGCCATGGGCTGGAATTTGACGAGATGCAATTTCTCTACTCTTTTACCTCTGTTCAGCTGATTTGGATAAAAATTGTAGCGGGTCGTTCTCCCACCAAGCGAATTTTATAGTTTTATGTTTCGCACAAGATTTCCACCCGGGTGGTTTGTGTAAATGGCAAGCACCCAAGCAAATATAAAGTTACGTTCAAACTATGTTGTATAGACCAACAGTCGTGCTGGTAGTGAGCCAGAAAGATACTCAGGATTTGTTTAAGGTTCAGACACAGTAGAAGTTATTATGCTTAAGAAAAATACTGTCTGCTGATCCCATTCGGGTTCTTCTACAAATCGAATCCAGTAGGTTATGTAGGTTGGAGTGAAGTCGGTAAATATGAACTATAAAAAGCGTTTTTTAAAAAAATTTTTTATCCATTGTGTTGACCAAGTACTTACCCTATACAGAATAGTATGAATATAACGGACTTCAGGCCGGGCTTCAGCAGGGGGAAACTTTAAGGAAGAGACGTTTCTGGACACCGGACGTACGTCAACCGGAAGTGAGGCCTATCCCCTTTTAATACCGTAAAATTCCGAAAATAAGCCCCCAAACCGGTAAAGCAAAAAACCTTCCGTTAAATCGCCCCTTCAAATATAAGCCCCCGGGGGCTTGTACTTGGAAAATTGCCCTCAAATACAAAGTAAAACAAAGTAAAAGCGGTAAGTTTACTTCCAACTATAAGGCTAGTCCAATCGATTTTGAAACGCAAATTTCCCTCCGTAGATAAGCCCCTGCAAAAATAAGGCCCCTCAAAAAGGGCCCTTGAAAAATATAAGCCCCGGGGCTTATTTTCGGAATTTTACGGTATTCCTTGACGCTATCAAATTTGTCTTGCTAAGTATCTTTACTCTCTACTGAGACGAACTGCCAGAAAAGTTGGGAAAAATTGCTACCCACTTATGCAAAACGGTCACTTCCGGTTGACGTCGCCCAAAAACGTCCTTGCTTAAGCTGCTTAATGATTATCAAAGAAAACGTGTGTGATGTGGCTTGGAAAGGAATGATTTAATTTGAGCATGATATGATCATGCGTGACCGCAGTTTAAGGCAGCAATTTGCCTGGCTTTGCGAAAAGAAACAAAAGCAGAAGGCGTTCAACACGCAAGAAAAAGCAGGCCTTGGAAATAGAACTGAATCTCTCTTCACGATTCGCTTAAAGAAAACCCGACGTTACAGAGCGTCTCAGTTTCGTACAAGTTCTCATATCTCCTTATTTAAGCCACATTTCCATTGTGAACACATTTCATTTAATACATGGATTTTTTTTCCTGCTTGAAGTCCACGAATCTTAATTACATGCGGCTTCTGAATAAAACCTTTGAGCCTCGTTCTCTTTTCCATAAAAACTAACCTCGAGTTCAAGAATGGATAATGATCTTCTTTGTGACAAAAGTTCACTAAAGTCATATAACTGACTTTCACCAGTAGCACAATGGTAGTTCACTTTCAATCTCAGTGTTGTCAACGAAGAATTTTTGTTCACAGCGTCGCAAAGGTCTGGTAACCAGTCATCACTCACTTCCCTGCTACTGTTAAGTGTAAGGTTGAATGTGGTTATTGATGTGTTTTGCGCCAAACCCTCAAAGACTTGAAGTGCAGTGAAAATCTCGTCTATATCTGATATGCCTTCACCGAATTCATTTATTGTGAGATTAAATGTAGTTATAGACCTGTTTTTCGACAATCCTTCATTTAAAGTCATGTGATTGTTATCCGGAGAATCAACTTCCAGTACATCCATTAAGGTCAGCGACACAGTTACTGTAAGTGTAGTTAATGACCCGTTTGACAACAAACCTTTAATGAAGTCTGTAAGATTATCTTCGTAAGAACCCCACATATTAAAATCGACGTTGAATGTGATACTGAGTGTCTTTAATGAGGTTGTTAGAGCTAAACCGTCGCCAAAGCAAGGTATGTAACCCGCGCAGCTAAGATTACTTAATGACGCACACTCTAGCAAACAGTCATCCAAAACTCCATTCCAGAATGGATTCATGCTCGTACTACCATGGACTGCAACAGAAAGGTTAGATAATGATTTGATTGACACCAACACGTTTGTAAGTTCATTCCAAATAAAAGAATCTTTTTCGTCACTGTAGTCGTTTATTTGCAGGCTGAGTGTAGTTAGAAAAGCCATTTTGGCTAAGCAGGCACCCAGTTTACATAGCAATCCACGTATAATACCAGAGTTGATTGTGAGACTAAGAGATTTTATTGAAGTACTTTGCAATAAACATTCCCCAAGGCCATCCGTCAAGCAGCCGTTTACTGTAAGATTAATAGAAGTAAGCGATGTGTTTTCTGCCAAAGCATCAGCCAGATGATATGTCCATTCCCTAATTTCACCACTGTTGTTGTTAATTGTAAGACTGACCTTTTCCTTTCTTGTTTCTTTGACTTTAGCAAAAAATGCTCTCGATGTCGCAGGATTTTCGATCGAGATATCAAGCACCTGGTTCGATTCTTCTAAAGCTAAATGTACGCGGTGTACATCCCAATGAACGCAAGGGTTGCTCTCTGAAAGTTCGGAAAGAATTGTTTCTCCCTCTGGTGTCAAACTGCCCCAGATGTTGATGGAAAACTGAAATAGTATCTTGCAATGTTTCAGGCATCTTGCAACAGAATTAGCCACGTCTTCAGTTACGTTTCCATGCACGTTTAAAGTCAGAAACTTAAAAGCAAGGGCGGAAGACTTCCAGACTTCACATAGAGCATCTGCCCCTTCACAACTCAGTTTTCCCCAAACGTTTACAGTCAGGCGCTGCTTTGGAACCAATGCATTTTCAGCTAAAACAAGACCAACATCATTATGCCCTATGTTGTCCAAGGTGTTTGGATGAAAGGCACAGCTAACTGGGTACTTCTTTGTCGAATACAGGGTTTCCACAACAGACTGCCAGTTATCAGGAAGCTCACCATAGACAACCACTTTGATATGATTTAAAGAACTGTTTTTTAACAGTCCTTGTTTCAGTGAACTGGCAACAGCTGAACTCAGCTTTCCACCAAGGCACAAATCAATAGACTTTAAAACTGTCTGCCTTGCGAGTGCTTCACTGACAGCACCAGCTAATACATCCGTCACACCTCCACAAATTTGAAGTGAAAGAGATATCAAAGATTTGTTCGTTAATAGTTTGTGTAAGGCTTGGATCGCAGAAAAATTCATTGAGCCGTAAATCTCGAGAATAACCGCAGACGTCAGCGGAGTGTCAGGAGACAATCCACTTTCAATAGCACTGATATAAGCCTCGCTAATATCTCCACACACTGAAAACTTAATTTTTCTAAGCGATTTGCATGAGGCCAACCCATGGCATAGTAGAACAAGCACGTCACGGTTTACCTTACCGTATGGCGATTTGAAAGTAAACTCTAACAAACTCTTGCTTACAGATAACCATTTACGAAGACGATCTGCTTCCCTCGATTTCAGCAAGGGTTGGGAATATTCAAGGCTAACGGATGTAAGCTTCGAGAGGGATTCTATACAACGTATCACAACATCACTTCTCCTGTCATTCATGTCTAAACAAGCTTCAAGTTTAACAGGAGTCGGTAAGTTTGAAAAGCTTTTGCACGCTATTAAAACCTCAGCAAAATCCGAAAAACCAGTATAGTCTTTTGCAGTAAAAAACACTTCTTTTGGAAAAGGCACAACACCACAAAGACTAGTTGCCATTTGTTCAGCGTGTCCACTTTCACTAAAGCTTTTCACAAAGAAAGTTGCCTCCTGCTCCCAACAGTCGCAGTTCCAGTCCCATCTATTCTCCTTTAACGTCTCACCAATCTGAGTGAATAACACGGTTCCTTTCTCACCCAGCATACCAGAAACAAAAAGAAAAACTTGTGGGTATTTTCTGACTAAATCATGAAAGGTCGTGTACTCAAACACATTAAACTCTCCTCTTAGTAGCTTGTGCGTTATAAAAGCAGCAGCCAAATATTCTTGGAAGGTCTTGTGAAGAAACCAGTACTCGTGTTGTGGGTTAATCCTCTTCCGACTTTCTTCCATGTAAAGAAGGCCTATTTTGCGAGCTACCAAGTTTTGATTTTTTACTTCACATTCTACCAGTTCTCCTTCGGGAAAAGATTGACGATCATTCAGCAGGCACGTCCAAGCCAGCTGTCCGAGGGCAAGAACATCTTCTTCAAAACGTTTCTGTAAAGTGTTCCTATCTTTCGGCACCGCCAGACTGTGTTTTGCACAGTATCGTCTCAAAAGACATTGGACAATAACTTGGTAAAGTTCCGTCTGGGAAGTTGGCAATTTTCCCTCATAGTCCTCATAAACAACACAAAGGAGAAGTAAATTTAACGGGTTACTTCGAAGTGCATGTAAAAAGGTGTTCTGTTCCATTTCCTCAATAAGCCTCTTCCCCTTTGGTGACTGACCAATGGTTTCAAAGTGTCTTCTGACGTACTCAATAGAATCACTTTCCGTGTACCCTTTGATTTCTAAGTGAATGTCAAAGACAAAGCTTTTCCGTACTTCGATTCCTCTTTCTTGTCGTGTCGTAGCCAAGACATAGCAAAATCCTAAAATTCTTCTTTCAAGCAGCTCATCTACATGGTGCCGTGATTTTTCAGGTAGCTCATCCAATCCATCCAAAATGATTAACATCAGTCTCTCCTGGTTACGAATGTCCTTCATCAACTGCAACAACTTCTCCACAGACTTCTCCATATCTCTGGGCAAAAGTTGTTCACTGATAGATTCCATTATATCTCCATCAATGTCACGACATTTGAGGAGAAACACGAATTCAAATTTAGGAAAGGAGCACTCAGATGGAATATTTCCATGAGCCCAGTCATAAGCAAGTTTGAGGCAAAACGTAGTTTTACCGATTCCAGGACTGCCCTCTACTATCGTCATAACATCCTCACCAATGCCAGGGGCTTTGAAAATGTCGAACACATTCACCTCGTCCCCTTCCCTATGGATGGCCAAGTTTCCTCTTGAAACGATTTTCAGTCTTGTGTAGACTTGTTCTATGGGCAACTGGATGGTGCTTTCCCAAAGAAGTGGTCTTAAATGCGAACGCCTGTTGTATTCCTTTTTTAGCAATTTCACAACAATCAAGCTGTCCCTACCTGTTGGAAACAAGGAGATCGGAAATATCTGTCAGTAATCACAAACAAGAGGAGTTGACACCACGAACGGGGTATTTGTAAAATGTTGCCCTCCCTTTGTTCCATAAAATAACTGTAAACTCTCTTTACATTGAGTACTTACAGGGAGTTAAAATAATACGCTACTTTGAAGTCTTCGCCAACGTCAGTGTTTTTGTTTTCTCTTCCTGGATGTTTAGTTGTACATAAAACAAACACAGGGAAACCTCCAATAAGCTACTACTGACCCAAAATGTTAGAGAGTTAAAGGACACTTACGGGACTTGGTCACTAACAAGAATAGAACAACAGGGGGTCTCTTTCGAGAAAAGGTCCGGACTCAGCTACCTTATAGAAGATACTGTTTTGTATGTAATCATAACTATAACAAAATTCTTAAACCTGATTGGCTATCAACTGCCCTGATTTCAGCCTTAATAGGACAGTTAAATAGGACAGTATGCGTCATGCCTAAGTAATTGGACAGTACGCGCCATCACGCGGGCGCTTAAATGGCTTTTTTTTCACTGCTAGCAAAAAGAATCTCGGAATTTCTCGTGGCATGTTTTGATTAAAAAAAGAGACTAATATATCACATATTTTGTTAAAGTTATAATTAATTGGTAACAGAACTTCGTGTCGTCCAATTCGGTCTGAAATAATACTCGTGATTAAACAAATCGGACGACCGCGTATTAATCACTCCTATGATTACAGATCGAATTGGACTCCACTCAGTCCTGTTACCATTACTAATTTCTTAGTTATGATATGTGTAGCTTTATGTTGTCATTAAAACTTCTTCCTATACACTCAGTGGCATAGTACACACAGGTGAGCATAGAGATCAGATCATACATCAAACGGGTTACGAGAGGTAAAAAATGGTAAAAAACTATAAAAACGTCACCCCCAAAATGTGGTCGCGGTCGCTTACAGGAGGTGGTCTTTTACTAGAGGTTCTAACTGCAAGGCTTCGATTGGGTATCGTTTGTTGTTTTGGACAGGTCGGACAGGTCGCACATGGAGGTTCGACTGTTTTTTAATAGAGATAGGCCTTAAAAGGAAATGTTTGAATAAAGAAAGTAATTAACGAGGGGTTAGCTCTAAAAACGTATGCTTTTTAACCTGGCCAATTTACCTGTGTCGACCCAGTTCATAAAACCAATTTTTGTGTATTTCACTTCAGCACGCAGCACCACGTAGAAACTAACTACATTATATTTTGAGGAATCAATTTTCAGCCACTCCTAAATTTACATAAAAGAAAATTGACAGAGCTACCGTATTTACTCGAATACGGCGGCAGAAGCTTCCTGGCGGCGGTTATTCGAGGGCGGCGCTTATTTAAAAGGCTCATACCACAAAGACAAACCATTTTGATTGTACAATTTAATTTACTTCATGAGTATTTGTTCATGGCTTACCAGCTTGAGGCTAACCTAAGTTTTGGCTTTCATAACAGCCTCGTCAATACTTTTCTGCAGGTTTGAACTGAAAAACTTCACTATTGATGAAAATAAATTCCCATTGCTGGCTTAGAACCGCATTCTTCGAGTAAATACGGTAACCGCTTTTCACTCCTAAGAGTGGAAAAGGGAAAACTCACAAAGATTCCAGATTTCCTTTTAGAGAAATCCCATGAAATAAATAACAATAAGAGGATTCATTCGTTCACATATGCAAAACTTAGAATGACAAATCATCTCGCCATAACTCGGTTTCGGGGTGAAAGAGTTAATATCCTTCGGCTTCTGAATTCCAGGGCAGAGGCCCGGGGGGCCGGGCGTCTCCTTATTTTAGACCAAAGTGAAGCCCAAAGGGCCGAAAAAATCTTTTTTGAGACCAGATAAAATCAGCTGAAACACAAACAATCAAACCAGAAAAGCATCATTGTCTTTTGCCACACTACCTTCGCACAAAAAAAATCATTAAGCACTAAACGCTTTCCCATAAACTATGTCCCAGGGAATTGACAAGAACAGGACTTGACCACAGTTTGAAAAAATGTACCAGGTTCAACTCTGCGAAATATGAAGCACCCTCGAAATAGAGAGAGCGTGCGTCAAACCTGAGAAGTTTAAGTTTTGCTACTGAACGGAAGAGAGTGACCCCAGCATCTTGAGTATCCATCTCTAAAGCAGGAGGGGGAAGGGGCGTGGCAGGGAGCACCAAAAATTTTACGAACACAAGTTAGTCCATGCAGATCTTGCTTTCAGTACTAAAATGGTTATAAACTTTATCATGCATAAACAAACTTTACCTTCACCTCCCAAACATTTTGGGACTTTTAATGCTGGATTGCTACTTGGAGACAAAGGCCTTTTCCCTTTTTTTGAGCCTGAAATTAAACCAGACTAGCGATCAATTATTTTTGTTCATACACACCCCAGCTAATTCCCTACAAAACTTGTGTTTGTATGCTTTTTTTCAAATAGGGAATTCACATGTACCTCCCTGAAGACGTTTTTAAAAAAGCGGTTTCTCGTAGACTTAAAAGACTACCGAGGCTATCAGTCCACACGAAATTTTACAGTCGTGATTGATTAATAAAGTCTATCATTTATTTGTGAAGAGTAATTAGGGGAGGGCAGCTTATTAACTTTCTTCCCCTGAAAAGGGAGCTGGGGGGGGGTTACTAGAGACAGGGGCCTTATTTGAGAGGGGCTTAACAGAGAATATAGGGTAATCAAAGAAAAACACAGAGCAGGTCAATTGCGCCGTCAAAACAGTCTTAGATTCTGGATTTCAGGTACTGGACTCCGGATTCCTTCTCACCGTAACTTGGATTTCGTATTACAATCATTAGCGAGATTCCAGATTCCTTGAGTTGGATTCCGGATTCCAAAGCCCAGGGTCCGGATTCCAAAAGGAAAAGTTTCCTGGATTCCAGATTTCACTAGCAAAAGTTTCCTGGATTCTGGAATCCTGATTACCTCACTCTGGGCCGATCAATTGTTAGTTTATAATCTATACACCGCGGCAATGGCCAGCATCTCTGAGTCCCAAGGTGAAAATTTCACTTAGAAAAACCCATACAAAAAGACCAAGCCTACCGTGTATATGTTAAAACACAATTTCCTTTTGCTCTAGTCTATTTCGCTATTTAGAACGAGAAAAGTAAACCTGAAACGAGTATTATTTGTCGGTATCTCGCCTTATTAACCTGTGACCAGTGTGAAAAGGTTTTGACCTTATAACTCAGTTTTAAACGAGTCTTGCTCAATGCTTCAACCATTTCTTGGTTATTTATCATCCCCGCAAGGAATAATCATTAAGCTCAATTTAAAGTACATCTCCCAGACCTTCCTACTTAGAAAACAAAGAATTGCTCTGGTGGACATATTATACACCGAATGCAAATATGGCGGATCTCTCGGTCGGCCCGGGTCTAGTTGCGCGAAAGCGAGGCTAGTGAGGCCTCGATAGTTTTGTTTTGACTGTGCGTCTTAGCGATTCAGTCGATGAATATGGTTTCCTTCGAGTTGGTACGTGCTTAAGAGCCATCAAATAGGAGATTTAACTCCAGCAGAGACGAAAGTTGATTATCTTCGCTTTGCCAAAGTTCTTTACGAAGAAAGAAATGGATTCAAGGGATTCGGCGCGGCGAATGGAGGCACTCTACTATCACGGAGTAATTTTTTAAAAGAACGAAAGTGTGCTCGCTTCACTTCAGAAGAGAAGACTCACGAAACTATTAGAATGGGTGAATAACTGAAAGATTCATGGTTCTGTTTCAAGTTTGCTTTGTCCGTTCTCTTAACATGGAAAGGTACATATCCTCGAGGACGAGTGAATCCGCCGTCGCGACTTACCAATCTTTAGGCGCTCTCAGGGACACAACGACAAATAACAAGGGCGAATGTTTTTTCACAGTCTTCACGATCCTGTGTTCAAGAGTTTGAGCAGTGCCATAAAAGAAGCAATTTTTGGAAAATCGCTGTTAGTTTATCTCGAAACCATTCGACAAGTTGATAAAATAGATCACGCGCAAGGTCAAATACTATGCTCGAATACTTGCACGCTCTTTTTCTTCCAGAACCTTTTTTCTTCTTCTTACTTTCTTAGTTGGCAACGGTTCCTCCGTTAGTTTTTTCAGTGCATTTGGTCAAGGACTGTTCTTGAAATATGTCGCTTTCTTCTGGTTCTTACATAGTTTCACAGGCCACTCTTGTAGGATTAACAGGCGATTGTTATTGTTGTTGTTATATTTTAATGCAGCTGTTTTCAGCGGGAAATCTAAGAGATCTTACGGTCCACCGCGGATGCTCCCGTTCTCGAAAATGTTTACCTTTTGTTGGATAAATAACAGACCATGCAAACATCTTGGAACAGCACCATCTCTTGTGAAAATTATTTCATTCAAATACTTTCGTGCGTCTTCTCATCTAAAGCAAGTGAGCGAGCACAGTTTCGCTGTAAAGTGCTTCCCATCGCCGCGCCGAATCGCATGAATCCTTAAGTTTCTTTGTGAAAAGATCTCGGGAAAGTAAAGGCTATTCCAGCTAGAGTAAAATCTTCTTTTTGGTGGCCCTCAGGCATGCAACAACTCGATCAAACCATATCGATCAACTCAATCGCTAAGACGCGCAGTCAAAACAAAACTCTCGAGGCCTAACTAGCCTCGCTTTCGCGCAACTAGACCCGGGCCGGCACATGTTTCTAATATTCAAGTGTACCTTTAAGAAGACGTTTTTCAGAAGGAGAGGGGTTTTCATCATGACAGATCACAGCCGCTTTCTTAGATAAATTCTGTTCATCCGCACTGGGACCTGCAAAAAGAGTAGCAATACAATATTAATTTTACTTCTGAACTCCAGGGTTGGGAACAAGATGTCACGAAAAAGTAAATGCGAGTTAGTTAAAAGATATCACAATATTTAACAACTCTCTCAATTTGTCAAATGTAGGCGGACTTCTCTGGTGGAGTTATTAAAAGAGATGGAAAATTTGTTGAGGTCAGGTTCTCATGCCCACTACTGTTGTCGCTGTAATTGCGTGAACATTTCCTTATGCCAGCAGTGCACATTATAAAGGCCAATTCAAATATTAACAACGCGAATCCGTTACCTTGAGAAATGGCAAGCATTCGTTCCACAAGTTTGTTACAGTGATCCTGCCAGCTGTACATCTCGGCATACTCTCCTTGAAGAAGCTTGGCTTCTCTCAGTCGCAGCTTCCTGTTTTTCTTCCGAACAGCTTTGATTGCATTGGCCCAATCTTTAGGATCTTCTGATTCCACCACACAATTTGAACCAATCAGAACTTCCCTTAAAGCCTCGCCAAGACCAGAGTTCCCACTGACCAGCACAGGAAGACCAGCAGACAAAGCCTCAAGGGCGGCAAGACCAAATCCCTCAGTTCGTGATGGCATTATAACAAGATCTACTTCACAAAACAACCGAGCTAGCTGCTCTCTGTTTTCATTAAAACAACGCACAATTAGTTGACTGCAGTCAATGCCTTGCTGGAGTAACAAGTCTGCTACTTTCTCTTCTTCTCCGCTTGTTGCTCCAACAAATACAAGTTTGTAGGTCACGTCTTTCAACTCAGCAATGGCTTGGGCAGCAATGTCATATCCTTTTAGCTGAAAATCTTCATTGTCACCACGTCCGAACATTAAAACACTAAATGTTTTTCTTTCTTCAGTGGCTTGCTTTACATCAGAAAATTCTGAGAAGATGCCCGGGGTAAGATTGAGAACATCTTGATCCTTTCCAAACGGACGGAGATAACCTGAGAAAGCTTCAGCCAGCTTAGGTCCAACTGCCACAACTTGATCAGCCAATTTACAGAGTTCAATCTCCACTTGGTGCTTCTTCTCACCTTTGGAAATGCGTTCTTCATATCCTTTGTACATTCCAAGTTCTTCAGGAGTGGTGTGAACGACCTGAATCCACTTGCAGTAAGGATGAGTTCGCTTGATGATCTGCACTTGCCGACCAAGAACAGCCCCATGCCCTATCACACAGTCTACAACATGGTCTTCTGGCAGGCAAGACAACCAGAAATTTGGTTCTAAACCTGGCATTTCTCTTGCTTTAATGAGGCGAACATTGTGATCTTTGGCAACTTGTTTATCCTCTTCGCTGCACTGAGGGAGATAAACACTGACCTCCACGCTGGGGTGTTTAGCCAACTGAATGGCCAGTTCTCGGTTGATGGTTGACAAGCCTCCTTTTGTTGATCTCCATTCACTGCTTAACAGAGTTACCCTCAATTTGCTGGAGGACGTGGATCCTGAAATGCTTTCATGGTCTTCCTGTGATGTAGAGGCTGTGCTAGGAAAGGACGTCAAATCCTAAAAGAAGAGTAGCATTAATTTACTAATTGGTTTCCTTAAAAGACGCATTACTAAGTTCATAAAAACTGTAAGTTAGGAGACTCAAGCATTGTTTTTTGGGTAAATTTGGCTGAGATGAGAAACTTTACTTACTTTTTAGCAACTGCTTAGACTGAGTACCACACTGAGAGGTGAGGATCATTGACATATTAATTATCCATTTAATTTCTTGAGACTGGAAGGATCAGCAAGCTTAGTGGTTCACTAACTCAACATTCCAAAAGAGGTACACTGTGCTTAAAACAAGCCAGAGGGTCCGCATAGCAAGAGCTTACAGTATCTTGATACGGAAAGCATGAAGCACCAAGGAGTGAATATGGCAACTCTACCCCCGTCCCCCCATGGATGGAAGAAGCACTTAAAACAAGCAAGAGGGCCTACACAGTAAGAGCTTATCTTGGTTGGAAGCACCATGAAGAACCAAGGAGTGAATGTTACAACTCCACCCCCTCCCCCCATGGATGGAAGAAGCACTTAAAACAAGCAAGAGGGCCTGCACAGTGAGAGCTTATCTTGGTTGGAAGCACCATGGAGCACTACGGAGTGAATATTACAACTCCACCCACCACCCTACCACTCCTCCCTGGATGGAATGCTAGTCCATAACAGCATTGCCCACCAGTATGTCGCCATTTTAACACAAAATTAAAGACCTGTGCATGTGTGTGCGTGCATGTGTGTGTTGGGGCGGGGGCTATCTAAAAAGATATTTTTCTTGTCAAAGGAAATCAAGTGATGGAACAGTGAGGACTCAAATCAGAACCCCCTGACACGGTGTCTGATGTGATCACCATCCCTCCACCAACATTTTAGAAAAACGTCTCAAACCTCAAATCTTACAACTTGAGATTGAAGATACAAAGAAAAATAGATCTTCACTAGACAAACACTACTAACCAATAACAGATGATCAATTTTTCGACTTACCTCCATCAGCCTGGACATCACAGGAATTCTAAAAATCCTTTAAAACTGCAGACATGAACACTACAATAAAAACAAAAAAAAAAGAAAAGAAAATCAAACTGTAAATATTGGTGCAATGTTATCTAGTACAATTTAAAATTTAACACTTGATATTTTTGTGGGACAAGGCTGTGCTCCTAAGAAAATTGAGGCGAGTCCAGTGCTCTGAACCTGTAAAACACAGGGCACCCAGCATGTTATTTCTATGAAAAATATGAGATTTTCTAGTCACCCAAGAGCAAACGTTAGGCAGCAGGGGCCACCAGGCTCTGCTAGAGGACTGCCCTGGTTGGAATTTAATATTTGGAATGGTCCAGTCTGGTCTTTCTCTCTATGAATCACTTTGGGTAATACACATGCATTATGTTGCATTCAACATCCTTCATTTAAGTGAGTCCAAATACAGTCAAATTAAGCCAAATCTGAAAAGGGTGTAGGTAAAATTTGTTCTCAAATTAAAGCAGAACAGTCTCCTTTGATTGATATTAGAGCTAAGAACTAAGGAAATTCTAAGTAAAACCAGAACAAATTTTGCCCTTAAACAAAAACAAATACTATTGTCTTTCTTAGTTATAATATTTTGGGGGGTAATGTTTTTATGGGGGGTAGGGAGTTATATGGGGATATTGAAAGAAGCTACAACAATAATATCAAAACCTTCTACCTTAAAAGCCACGAGGTACATGTATATGTGCATTGTTTTACATTTAGATAAAAATGTACAAATGTAAATTGATAAGTGGCACTTTGGTGTAACTTTATTTAACAGCATTACTTATGTAAATAAACAATATGATTCCTTTTAACAGTGTATTTTTCAGAATTTTTTATAAAATTTTAAAATCTCTTTCCAACCCAGGACACTGCAGATAAACACCAACCATACACTGTATCTAGGGTACTTTCCATGCGAGGCCTATATGTGTGGTACATGTACCATATGTTTTTTTCCCATAATTATGTCAGTTTTTATGAAATGAATCAGAGTCATGAAATAAGGTTTCTTATCTTAAACAGGATGAAGATCTGAAACCTTGGCAGTATCACTCCCACCCAAACTTCCCTTCAGTGTTATCCCCACCCTCACCACTCCAGGGAATTTTGATATTATAAGACCATACATTGTTCTGCATTAATAAGATATTTAAAATATTATTGTAATAATTATTGTGGCAAAGAATGAAATAATTCAAAATAACTTACCAAAGCTTGGTACATGGATCCTTGACTTCTGAAACCCACACATCATGAGATTTGAACTGATTGGTAGCAGTAACCTTCATAATAAAATCAAGGGCAATGTGTCAAGACAAAGAACAGTTCTCCCAGTTACATTTAGTTATTGCTTTTGAACTGGTGATGGTACGTTCATTCACCATTGAATAAACCTTCCCCCACGCCCAGCAAATTAGGACATAGATGTACTGTAGCAGAGCATTTAATTCGTGGGCTTTGCAAATGTGACAGTCTACAGGATTTTGACAAGGAAAAATTAAGTGATAATCCTTTTTCCATTTTTGCTTTTAATACCTTCCTTGAGTTACTTTAATTCAATTAGGGTTTGTCGCTTCAGGCTTGTATCATGTACAGGACTTTGATATTCACTTTGCCACATGTTGGGCAATTACTGTAGCTCACTCTCTAATAAGTGGCCTCCCACAAAAGAAGGCGCTCACATTGAAGGCCATAATATCAAACAAGCACCACTCTTAAATAAGCCCCACCTTCCCCTCCACCCCGCCTTCACTTTCTTAATGTAGGGAGACAAGAAAAACATGTTTCTTCATCCACTTTATGAGAATTTATGAGAATCAATAATTATTTGATGATTATAATGAGATAATAAACATGCAAACCATTTACACATGTAAATGTGTGTAATGAGCCCACATGTATGGTACACTTAATTACAAACCAGCGTTTTAACAGATTAAAGGCAATAATATTGACTAAATGTTTACCGAAAATCCTGTAGAAATGGAAAAGCTTAAGTACAAGAAGTTGAAGGGCATGAAGCTGAGGTCAAAAACAAATTATACCATCACAGATCAGTTCAAATGAAGTTTTTCAGTGACTGGTTTATAAAGTCTATTATTTATTAGTGAAGAATAGTAAGGTTGACGGAAGAAGGGGCTTAAAAGAGAGGGGGGTTTCTTCCCCTGAAAAGGGAGGGGATATTAGAGAGGGGGCTAATAGAGGATTTACAGTAATTTGCTTTTCTATTAAACATTAACCCATTCGCTCCTGGAGATTTTGCCGAAAAACGCGTTTTGAAGCTAGTCGACTGGTTTTCTGATCACTGTCGTGCTATAAAGAGCTAAAACTTACCACAAACCAGTTTACAGGTCGTACACTTGGCGGCCTTCTGATCCAGATGCAAAATATCAGCTTGCGAAGTTCGGGCATGCGTAGAAAGCAAAATTTCGACATAGTTTTTGGGTTTAAAAGTGACACAGCAGTCTTGACTTTTACTTTTCGCTTTCTCTCCTCCCTTCTTTTTTCGCTTTTCTTGTCTCATTTTTTTTTTCTCTTGCTGGGCATTTAGTAGGCTTCATTTTGATGGGAAGAGTTTTTAGGAAAGCTTTTAGGATCTTAGGATTAGGTGAAAGGAAAGGTAGGTGGGTAATGGAACAAGATTTTCATGGAGATTTTCAGGTCCTTGTCACGTGGTTTTTTGCTTCTTTCTCCGGTGTCCTTGACTGAATTGTGCTCATTCTGGTATGGTTTGAAAGATCTCTTCACTCTGTACAACTTAGCGAAGAAAGTTGTCCTTGACCGTTAAAACTGATGACGTCACAAAGGGTAGAAAGGACCTGGATCCGCACGGGCGGTTACGGGCGGTTCAGGGGGGAATGGGTTAAGCTAAAATAAAGTTACAATTCATTGAAAGGAAAACTTAATTTGAGCGACCCCCTCCCAATAAGTGCCCCCTACTTGAGCAGAAATTTTTAACAAGCACCTGGGTGCTTTTTTGAAGAAATCAGTATTTTATTGGTTGTATTTGAATGACCCCACGATTCTGCAATCAATTTTAGTTTATAATAGTGGAATCCATTGATAGGTCCTCCAATGGGCCATGGGAATTTTGCAGTATTAACACATTCACAACTGATTTAGCCACCCACAACCACACATTACAGATCCACATTCCTTCAAGATTTCCAGGTGAATGGGCTCACTGAACGAATGTGTCCGTGATGAATATCATATTCTTTACTTCACACCAACTCCAGAGTCAAGTAAAATGTACATGACCACACACAGCATTTTTCAGTACCATTTCTAGGAGTGATTGGCCACTTTATGAGGTGGCTGCACCAGAGAGTGTCTCATATTTAATCTGGTTATTACAGTGGAAGTGCTATAGGCTCTTTGCATGACTGTGATCACGTGATCAACTTTCAGTAAACACGAAAACAGTTCACTTTTGAAAAATTTTGTTAGCACAAGCTGAAAGAGCATATTGAAATTAGGTAACCTGAGAATTTTTTAGCCATATATCTCAAAAGTAGCTATTGCAACAGCCACCAAAAGTTAAAAGCATTTGTATGAGAAAAACAACTTTTGCCACCCAGTCATGCTTGCATTGTTTTCCAAACAAATCCTTGTAAATTCTAAAATTATTAAACTGTTGTTAAATCTTTGCCTCACCATTTAAGGGCTCAAATTACCTTTATGAATTAAAAGGAGATTTGAGACCTGCAATGCACAAATATTTCATGACAGTTTTGAAAATTTCAAAATATTTACAAGGATTGGTATTGAAAACAATGCAAGCATGACTGGATGGCAAAAAATTTCGGCTTGCTATATTTAACAATTGGGCTCCGAGTCAATAGTCCATGAGCCCGAAGGCTGAATGGGATATTGACTCAGAGGCCAGGAGGGCGAGAGGAATATTATTGTTTTAGTAAAATCCAACTAGCTGGTCAAAAATACCAAGACAAAACAACTTTAGCTACTAATGGGCTATAACATAATTATAGCCTAGTAGTGGCTCAACCAATGAGAATGCAACATTGATAATAGACCACTAGTTGGATTTTACTAAAACGAAATATGCTATTTATTTAATTTTTCTTTCTACTCTCACTAAAACAGACCACTTTGGGACCAGCGCTATTCTTGGCTTGCAACCACATGACAAGGCTGCCACGTTGGTGGTGTGTTGGTGGCCAAAACAATAGATTTTTTTCTCAAAGAATTTACATGAAATTAGCGTTAAGTTCCCAGAGGAGAGACATGCTTTTGTCCTTGACCACCAAACACACCAATGATCAACATCGCCGCCGTAACATCACTTGCAAACCAGCAATAATTATGTCCGTGTTAGAGAGGTGCTCGTCTTATTAGAGTCAACAAAAAGGAAAAAAGAAAGGCAGAGACCAACGCTAGGTGTCCGTTATCCAGGTGTAAGTTACAAGAGAATTGACTGCAATGTTATGTAAACAATAATTTTACAAATTTTTTATCTGCTCATTAACCCATTCGCCCCTGAACCGCCCGTAACCGCCCGTGCGGATCCAGTCAAGGACACCGGAGAAAGAAGCAAAAAACCACGTGACATTGACCTGAAAATCTCCATGAAAATCTTGTTCCATTGCTCACCTACCTTTGCTTTCACCTAATCCTAAGATCCTAAAAGCTTTCCTAAAAACTCTTCCCACCAAAATGAAGCCTACTAAATGCCAAGCAAGAGAAAAAAAAATGAGGCAAGAAAAGCGAAAAAAGAAGGGAGGAGAGAAAGCAAAAAGTAAAAGTCAAGACTGCTGTGTCACTTTTAAACCCCAAAACTATCTCGAAATTTTCCTTACTGTGCATACCCGAACTTCGCAAGCTGATATTTTGCACCTGGATCACAAGGCCGCGAAGTGTACCACCTGTAAACCGGTTTGTGGTAAGGTTTAGCTCGTAATAGCACGACAGTGACCAGAAAACCACTCGACTAGCTTCAAAACGTGTTTTTCGGCAAAATCTCCAGGAGCGAATGGGTTAAGCAAAGTACCAAGCTTTTTGAAAAAAATCCACTCTTCAGCATAAAACTACCAAATCTGTCTATGTCATATAAAATCAGGTGAAAAAATTGTTAAAAGGCCATTTTTAGGTTTTTTGATTAATCCATTCGCCCCTGAACCGCCCATTTCCGCCCATGCGGATCCAGGTCCTTCTACTCTTTGTGACGTCATCAGTTTTAACGGTCAAGGGCAACTTTCTTGGCTTACTTGTTCAGAGTGAAGAGATCTTTCAAACCATACCAGAATGAGCACAATTCAGTCAAGGACACCGGAGAAAGAAGCAAAAAACCACGTGACATTGACCTGAAACTCTCCATGAAAATCTTGTTCCATTGCTGACCTACCTTTGCTTTCACCTAATCCTAAGATCCTAAAAGCTTTCCTAAAAACTCTTCCCACCAAAATGAAGCGTTCTAAATGCCCAGCAAGAGAAAATAAGTATGAGGCAAGAAAAGCGAAAAGAGAAGGGAGGAGAGAAAGCGAAAAGTAAAAGTCAAGACTGCTGTGTCACTTTTAAATCCCAAAACTATCTCGAAATTTTCCTTACTGTGCATGCCCGAACTTCGCAAGCTGATATTCTGCACCTGGATCACAAGGCCGCGAAGTGTACCACCTGTAAACCGGTTTGTGGTAAGTTTTAGCTCTTTATAGCACAACAGTGACCAGAAAACCACTCGACTAGCTTCAAAACGCGTTTTTCGGCAAAATCTCCAGGAGCGAATGGGTTAAGTTTCCTCATATGAGAAACTCACAACCTGAGTCTCACGTCTGTCATCTGCCGTAAACTTGATTGTAAATCTCATCTAAATGTCTGGCCATTGCGAAAGGCCTAATGAAAATGACCGTTATAAATTAGGTGCCCGCAAAACTTACATCTGTAGAAGCCGTATAACGTCTGGCTTCTTCTGCTGAAATTCACAAAACGCATCCCAATTCTTTAGAGTCACGCGATCTGTCTGCGTGTACTCGACTGCAGAAAGATCATTGTTTGCAGATGCCTAAAGGCTATTAGAAACTAATGGGGCGCTTTTTTTCTTGTCAAACATAAAAACTTCAGAGAGGCCTTGTGAATTCAAAGGAAAAAGTTAGATTGTAAATTCCATAGGCTTACCTAAACTTCAGGAATTCTGCAACGAAAATGCAGCCACGTGGAAGCCATCTTTAATATGATTTCGTCACAGCTACATAATTAAACACTTCGTGAGAAGATTGAGTCAGCCCATGATTGTCAGACCGATAAAAACAGCTAGAAGTTTGCAAATTCTTCACGAAATTGGACAGATTCCCTCTCACCAGCGTACAGGAAAAGAACCTATCGTGCAAGAATGTTTTAATTGGTCTAACGCTGCCACGTGATGTTTCACGTGAAAAATAACCGAAAGAGTGGACAGAGGACTTAGATACAAGGAAAATGGAAGCATTCCAATTGAACACGATAAAAAGCAAAAAGTATAAAATGTGACAATAACAAGCAGCAAAAATCACACAGCTACTCGCTGCGTGACGTAATGATAGGGGAGCACTCAGCAAAGTGTTATACGAAGAGGGTCCGCCAACCTTTGCGCCACCCCTTACCCTTTTATATACCATTTGGGACAGAAAAGGTACCCCTTTCGTTCCCCTTTCGTATACCTTATATTGACAAATGACACCCCCTATAACTGCCGTAAATGCACTATTTTTTACAGATGAATAAATCCCTAAGCCGGCAGGTATTTGTGACACTTTTACAGCTACAAAATGCATCTGTTACTTATCCCTTTGGGTTTTTTTAAGGTAAGAAAAATGATAGTTTTCCGCTACCCTTTAATGTACTTCTCTTAGAGAAATCCCTATCCATTCATATACAAGAGGCCTGAAAAAAACACTCTTTTCGGGCGGAAGCCTTGGAACCTCCCCATATAGGCCATTACAGGGAGTACCCTCCCCCCCCCCCCACACCGGGGGAGTAATAGACTTTTGACAGAGCTAAAATAAAATACGACTGTGATGACAAAGAGGTCATTGAGAAAGAGTCGAAAGGTCTTCTAATGTACAATGCAAACCTGCGCAGCTGTTAGGATTTCGTGTCGACGGCTTTATTCCGCTAATACTTTTCTGTTATAGTCCTACTAACATAAGCGAGGGTTTATTTATTTATTTATTTATTTTTCTACATGTGTAATTCGATGCTATGAATGGGTTTGGAAAAACTTAATAAGACAGAGTAATGTGTCAGTGTTTTAAGACCAAACGATCTGGAAAGTTCTTGTACACGGTGAACTGTAGAGGGTCACGAACTGAGCCTTATGATTACTGATGACAGAATATAAAGGGCTATGTTGTAAGCGAGGGTTTGTTAAGTTTTTTTTTGTATTGTGTCGAGGTTGATGTGAGAAATAAAGTTGTCATGTTCCAAATATCGCTTCTTTTGAGTTTCTACCAAAGTGGCGAATGATGAAACAGGAAACCCACCCGTCCCTTTTGATAGAACTTCCTTCTCGTTGACACCCACAATGACAACTAGACCACACAAACAGGACTAGGTTCCTAGCTCTTTTCGCAAAGCAGAGAGACTTCATTTACGCAACCTTTTAACTAGAAGAGATTTCTATTGGAAATAAGATGTACGAGCCTCAATCGTAAGCTAGTTCCAGTCTATTACCGCGATTCAGAATGAGGGGTGTTGGTAGGTACAAGGCCAACGCCCCAGCATCGCAAGCTCATGGACGCGAGCTTCTGAGCAAAGGCAAAGATTTTTCGTGCAATTCTAGTAGGATATCGCCCCTTTTTAAAAACCTCGGCCGACCTCGTTTAAACTCGGGCCTCCAACCCAACAATCAGGTGACTTACCTTTGTGCTGAGCAAGTCGTGGGTTTTAAGTTATTTACCTTACCGTAATTCCCCACTGCAGAAACTATTAAGGGAATGGGTACAAGCTCTCGATGCAACAGTTTTTGCGATCCTTTGAGTGAACGTTAGATAGTTTTCTATTGGGCGATGGTATCCAAGGCAACCATTAACCAATCATAAGTAACACTTGTCCATCCAAACGATCCCAAATATCGTTGCGCCGAAAGCTTGTACCCTTTACCCTGATAGTTTCTGGAATGGAATAGTTTCCCTGAAATCTTACTTGAACAGAACATACCCCTTCACTTCTGTGTTTTCAATCTACACACCAATATCCTTTAACCATACAAACGTAATTTTTGTTGGTAACGTTTAATACTTTGAGGGTGGGGAGGGCAGGTGCAAAATATGAGAAGGGTCACTGACTATAACTCTGAGGACCTCATAATTCTGTCCATCAAGGCCGGATTCTTCAAGGAACAGTAGTAATCTTAAATGGAAGGAGATAAGCTCCCACCTTGAACAACATTTGAGTGCACTAATGGTTTGAAACAAGAACAATGCAGCTCTCATTGTTACAAAACAAAAGGTATTCATAAGAATAATTGTGAGAGTCAGTGAGAAAGGAGAGAGATAATCTCGTAACCAGATCTCCCATGGCGTAAGACAGAGTGAGATCTGGGTACGAGCTTAGGAAGAGGGTCAACAAAAATCCGCTTCATGAAGAAAACGATGTGGAATATTTGAGCAAAGAGTATCTTGCATTCCACAACCTGCCCCTGACCACTTCCCAACTACTTAGGACTCTTAACACGACTTTTGCGTATTTGTTTCTCAACATTTTCAAGGAAATTCAGGGATTACTCCTCCGTCATCAGCGTTTGTAGCTTGTAGTCGAGGCGCGCGACTTTAACTACCCACACGAAACTTGACCGCAGGCTATTTCAAGGTCGCGGCGGGTTTTCTCATGACGTCACGATCGACATATTGATGTCCTAGAATAGTGAAATGGCGACCATGTTGGTGGACCAATCCAATCCTGTGGGAATTCAAGCTTTTTCTTATGCAAAAATTTTCTATTGTTTAAAGAATTTCTAAAGCCGCTGGCCACGTAATTATCCACGTGAGTGAAAACGCTCTATATTAACAAGAAATTACTCAGCATTTGCACTTTACGAATTTCTTTAATCGAGTTGAAAAATATAACGACAAAATTTTGAATAACAAAAGTTGTTGCATTTAAAGTTGTAACAAATGTTTATTGAATCCACAAACCAGATCCATTCGATTCAAACTTGTTGCCCTCGACTTGACGATATTAAGCTACACTAAATTATAATGTAAAGATACGTTCTTTACGTTCTTTAGTGGACTGAAAGGGATGAAGTATCAACTTCCGGTTGTCATTTTTGACGTCCGTCCACACTGGATCGGATGACGTACAAGTCACAATAACCAATTACAATATTTCTTAAACTCTAAAACTACTAGTAACTCATGTTGTATTAACCTTGGCCACACTGGATCAGATGGCGTACAAGTCAATCATCAGTTACAATATTTATCAAACGCTAAAACCCCTATTAACTCATGTTGTATTAACCTTGGTCACACTGGACCAGATGGTGTACAGGTCAAAAAATCAGTTACAATATTTATCAAACTCTAAAACTACTAGTAACTCATGTTGTATTAACCTTGGCCTCACTGGACCAGATGGTCTACAAGCCACAGTCATCAGTTACAATATTTATCAATCTCTACAACTACTAGTATAATAACTCGTGTTGTATTAACCTTGGTCACACTGGACCAGATGACGTACAAGTCACATTCATCAGTTACAATATTTCTCAAACTCTAAAACTACTAGTAACTCATGTTGTATTAACCTTGGCCTCACTGGACCAGATGGTGTACAACTCAACTTGAGGGTCAATGTATTTATCACGAAAGTACTAATTGTGGACACTATTTTTACGTCTCCTACTGGAGACGGGACTGCCATTTTACATGGTCATCCGAGCCACGCGAAGGTTCAGCCGCTTGAAGTGCAGAGAGACTACCTTCATTTCTGAAATATTTTTAAAAGACCCTGAGTAATGGTCCGGCCACGGGAATCGAACCCGCGACCTCCCGTTCTGCAGTCATGCGCTCTACCGACTGAGCTAATCCCGCCTGTTCAGTCTGAGACTCAAAACAATGTAAAATTTCAAAATATGTACACAGAAATACTCGTTTACAGCACTGATGAGTACCAGCCGCTTGATGCCCTCAAATAAAGCACTACACTGTAGTTTTATCTCATCCCTCTTGGCCCGTTCATATGAAGAAAAGTTGTCCCGAAAAAGAGGGTCACCCTCCAGCTGAGTCAACGGAAAAAAATAGTTGACCCCTTTGCCGAAGCCAACAGTGCTCGTACATACTTTGACTGTTTCGCCTTGACTGAGTTGACCCAGCTGGGCGAGCCAAAGTGTTTATATGGAGAAACGTTGGATCAGCTAGGAAGGTGACCCTACCTTCACAAAAGGGTGAACACGCGGCTAGGCGGGTCACCCTTCTAGCCAAGCCAACCTTTTTTCTTAACAATTACACGGTTCGCCACGTTTTTTTATCCCTTTAAACCAAAAGATCAAAATTTGAATTCTCATTTGTTGCCCCGATTCATTTCCTGGAGAAGTAGTGGGGAGAAGTTGATAAAATATCAAGCAAATTTATTTTGTGTGATCATGTCCGTAATTCTCATGACCACTCTGTTTTACAAAGCATTGATATAACAAGGAGAAATTTGATGCTGATCACTCTTAGGGCTTACAGAGTTAAGGGAACGTATGAAAAGTTGGCTCACCCAGGGTAGCTTGGGTAGGCGGCGGATTGACACTTCTACCCGGTACAACTTTTCTCCATATAAATGGGCCTAAAAAAGCTGAAACAGATTCACGAGGAATGGGATTGTGTTACATCGTGCAACAAGGTAAGTTGGATGAACCATGGGAGATTTTACGAGACTGAGCAACAGAGTGCAATTTTCAAACTAAGTTATGTCCAAACTACGCTGTATAAGACTTGCAACGTCGGTTTTCGTCAACGATTTTTTTAATGCGTGCGTCCGAATTGGCCCTCGAAAGCTAAATCTCAAAGCGATTTGTTTTTGACTAATTTGACTTGTTCCAGTCTTTCAAAAGTCAAGCGCTTAAAACGAGGTTTTGCCATTTTCAACTGCACGCCAGACACCCATGAAGGTATCTGATAACCTTAACGCTATACAGAGTAGTGTGAACATAACGGACTCCAGGCTGGGCTTCCACAATAAAAAATAGCCTACATTACTTGCACATGAGACACACCTGAAGGTATCTGGTAACCTTAACGCTTTACAGAGTAGTGTGAACATAACGGACTTCAGGTTGAGCTTCCACAAGAAAATATCCCGGTATCAAAGGAAACGTGTGTGATGTTGCTTGAAACAGAATGATTTTCTGTGACCTTCAAATGACCACGAGTGGCCGTAATTTAAGGCAGCAATTAGATTAGTTTAGCTGGATTTGTGACTAACCATTTAATGAATGATAACTTAACGAAAGCGATATAGCGATCGGAGAACTATATTGAAACTAGAATGGTTACGAAACATTTCAGCTGGACCGAAGGAAAGTCGTTTTAATTTGCAAACAGAGAAAACATAAAATCGGTCCTAACTTGAAACATACATTTGTAGATTGACCATTTTGCATTTTTAATTAGAATCTTTATTTTTAAGGGTCGAAATTAAACCACATTTCTATTGTAGATCACATTTCATTTGATACTGGCATATGTTCCCGCGGACTGGAAAGCACATAATTCTTAGCTGTATTCTTCTATTGAATTAAAACCTTATGACACCCACTCTCTTTTCCATAGAAACTTACATCAAGTTCAATTAGGGATAATGATCTGCTTCCTATTAAAAGTTTGCTGAAGTCATATAGACGACTTTTACCTGTAGCACAATGGTTGCTGACTTTTAATCTCAGAGTAGTTAATGCGGTGTTTTTCTTCAAGGTGTAGGAAAGGCCTGCTAACCAGACATCACTTACTTCTTGGCTACTGTTGAGTGTCAGATTGAATGTGGTAACTGATGTGCTATTTGCCAAACCTTCAAACACTCCACACGCGCGTAAAATCCCCGGAATAAGCGATACTCCAACACCACACTCATTTATTACGACATTTAACGTAGTTATTGACGTGTTCACTGACAGTCCATGATCTAAATTGATCTTCTCACCGATATAACCTGTTTTATCTGCCACAGTTACTGTTAGTGTCAGTGTAGTTATTGACGAGTTTAATGACAGACCTTGATTAAGACTATGCAACACACTTGAAAAAACCCTATCATTGGGGTCGTTAATAAAAATTGCGACACATAATGTATTTAATGAGCTTGTTGTCACCAAGCCCTCACAAAGGCCACTAAAAACGGAATTAAAGTCTAATTTACCCCCGTTCAATGTGAGACTAAGTTTCTTAAGTGACGTGCATTTTATCACACAGTCACCAACAACCTTATCCCAAAATGAACACATGCTATCACTATGGATTGCAATAGAAAGGGAAGATAATGATTGGACTGCCGCTAGCACGTTACTCAGTTTAGTAGGACTCAAACAATCCTCTTGATTCTCCTCACCATCGTCAAGGGTAAGTGTAGGACTCAAACAATTTTCCTGATTCTCCTCACTGGAGTCATTTAGTTCAAGGCTGAGTGAAGTTAACGACGACATTTTGATCAAACGCTCACCCAGTTTGCACTCCCATCCTTCTTTCATGTTACTGAAGTTGAATCTGAGACTAAGAGATGTTAAGGAAGTGCTTTGTAATAAACTATTCCCAAGGTTCTCTCCCAAATCTGCATCCACGAAGCAGCTGTTGACTGTAAGATCAAGCGTGGTCAGAGATGTGTTTTCTGCCAAAGCATCACCTAGATAACATGTCCACTCTTTGGTAACACAACTATCGTTATTGATTGTAAGACTGACTTTTTCTTTTCTTCTGTCCTTGACTTTAGTGAAAAAAACTCTCACTGCCGCAGGGTTATCAGTAGTGATAACAAGAAAATTGTTTGACTCAGCTGGACCTATACGCACATCATGAATATTTAACTGAACGCGACTGTTTTTTGAAAGGCTGGAAGGAACAATACCTCCCTCTGTTGTCAAGTCGCCCCATATATTGATAGACAGGGAAGATAGTGTCCTGTTTTCTTCCAGAGATCTTGCAATGGAATTAGAAACTTCGCTTGTTAAATTTCCACGCACGTTTAAGATGAGAACAGTAATGGATGAAGGCGCCAAGACTTCACAAAGAGCTTCTGCCGCTTCGCATTTCATCTCACCCAAGACGTTAACAGTTAAGTGTTGCTTTAAACCTTTCCTAACCAGAACAGGACGAAAACAATCATTCGCTACGTTGTTAAAGGTGTTTGGATAAATGGAATAGCACACTGGGGACTTTTTCGCCAAGCGAAGATTTTCCACAACAGAATGCCAGTTACCAGGGAGCTCATCGTGGACACACAGTCTTATATAATTCAAAGAACCATTCTCCATAAGCCCTTTTTCCAGGAAACTGGCACTAGAGCAACACAGCGGTCCAACGAGATGTAGATAAAGAGATTTTAAAACTGTTTGTCTTTCAAGTGCTTGACTGACAGCAGAGACTAACAAATCCAGCACACCTCCAACAATATAAAGAGAAAGAGAATTCAAGAATTTATTCGACAAAAAATTTTGTAAGGCTCGTGTCGCAGTATACTTCATTGAGCCCCATAGCTCGAGATTAAAAGACGACAGCGTTGTCAATCCAGTTTCTAACGCATTGAAAAAACTCTCGTTATAAGCATATCCAGGCAAAGCAAACGTTACTTTTGTCAGAGTTCGACATGAAGCCAACCCATGGCCAATTTGAACAAGCAGCTCACATATGTTAGGAGGTACATAAGATATGTATTGAAGAGTAAACTCTGATAAGCTCTTTCTTGCAGAAAACCATTTGCAAAGACGAACTGCATCAGATGACGTCAAAGATCCCAGATCATGAACACGAAAACTTACGACTGTCAGCTGCGCCGGGTAGGATTCCATATAATTTACTACGTTAATTGCTCTTCTCTCCCAGCCAATATCAGCATAGAGTTCAACAGGTATCTGTAAATTTGAAAAGCTTCTGCAAGCCCTTAAAACCTGAATAAAAGACGCATTGTAATTGTCTATTAGCTTGGAAGTGATGACCTTTGGAAAAGGTATAATGTTACAAAGAGCAGGTGCCGTTTGTTCAGGATGTCCACTCTCACTAAAGATTTGAATAAAGAAAGTAGCAGTCTTCTCATCGCAACGCTCGTTCCAATTCCGGTCATATGACTTCTTTAACTCCTCTCCAATCTGGGTGAAAAGAACCGTAGCTTTCTCGCCCAGCATACCAGAAACAAAAATAAACACTTGTGGATATTTCGTTAAAATGTCATGAAAGCTTATGTGGAGGTGCTTAAATACATTAAACTGTTGATTTTCTAACTTCTCTGCAATATACGCGGCAGCCATGTACTCTTGGAAGGTCTTGTGAAGAAAGCAGTACTCATGTTGAGGCTTCAGTCTCTTTAGACTTTCTTCCTTGTAAAGAAGTCCTAGCTCACGGGCTACCAATCCCGGGTATCTTTTTTCAAACTCATCCAATTCAGTTTCACGGAAACCATAACGATCACTCAGCAGGCATAACCCAGCAAGCTCTCCAAGTGCAAGAATTTCCTTTTCAAACATTTTCTCTAAGACACTGTCATCTTCAGGGGCGGGCCGGTTGCGTTTGGTGCAGTATCGTCTTAAAAGACATTGCACAATGACTTGGTAAAGTTCTGTCCGGGAACTCGGCAATTTTCCCTCGTAGTCTTCATAAACAACACAAAGGAGAAGTAAATTTAGGGGGTTATTTCGAAGTGCATGTAGAAAGGTGTTCTGTTGCATTTCCTCAATGAGCTTCTCCCCCTTTTGTGACTGACCAATGGTTTCAAAGTGTCTTCTGATGTAAGCAATAGAATCACTTTCCGTGTACCCTTTGAATTCCAAATGAAAGTCAAAGACAACGCTTTTCCGTACTCCGATTCCTCTTTCTTGTCGTGTCGTAGCCAAGACATAGCAAAATGCTAAAATTCTTCTGTGAAGCAGCTCATCTACATGGTGCCGTGATTTTTCAGATAGTTCATCCAATCCATCTAAAATGATTAACATCAGTCTCCTGGTCACGAATGTCCTTCATCAAGTGCAACAACTTCTCCACAGACTTCTCCATATCTCTGGGCAAAAGTTGTTCTCTGATAGATTCTGTTATATCTCCATCAATGTCACGACATTTGAGAAGAAACACGAATTCAAATTTAGGAAAGGAGCACTCAGATGGAATATTTCCATGAGCCCAGTCATAAGCAAGTTTGAGACAAAACGTAGTTTTACCGATTCCTGGACTTCCCTCTACTATCGTCATAACTTCCTCACCTATGCCAGGAACTTTGAAGATGTCAAACACATTCACCTCGTCGTCTTTCATCTGGATGGCCAATTTTCCTCTTGAGATGATTTTCAGTCTTGTGTAGACTTGTTCTATGGGCAACTGGATTGTGCTATCCCAAAGAGGTGGTCTTAGCTGCGAGCGCCTTTTGTATTCCTTTTTTAACAATTTCACAAGACCCAAGCTGTCCCAACCTGTTGGAAACAAGGACAACGGAAATATCTGTCAGTAACCGCAAACATGAACATTTGACGCTACGAACGGGGTATTTGTATAATGTTGTCCTCTCTTTGTTCCACAGAATGACTGTAAATTCTCTTTACATTGAATACTTACAGAGAGTTGAAATAATACGCTACTTTGAAGTCTTCGCCCACGTCAGCATTTATGTTTTCTCGTCCTGGATGTTCAGTTGTACATAAATCAAATACAGTCAAACCTCCTATAAGCTACTACTGACCCAAAATGTAAGGAGTTAAAGGTCGCTTACGGGGCGTGGTCACTTACAAGAATCGAACAACAGGGGGTGCTCTTTCGAGAAAAATTCCGGACTCATCAACCTTATAGAAGATACTGTTTTGCATGAAACTTGTTTCTTTGTCAAGAGATGTGTAGTTTTATGCTGTCGGTAAATGTTCTTCATATACATGAGTGGCATAGTCATGCATCAAGTTACGAGATGTAAAAAACAAAAAATATATATAAAAAACCGTCAGTGGTCGCGGTTGTTTACAGAAGGTAGTCGTTCCAACTGTAAGGCTTCGATTGGGTAACGTTTGGTGTGTTGGATAGGTGGTCGCTTACGAGAGGTGGTTGCAAATGGAGGTTCGACTATATTTTATTACAGATAGGCCTTAAAAGGAAATGTTGAATAACGAAAACACCTAGCGAGGGGGTAGCTCTAAGAACGTATGCTTTAAAACCTCTTCAAGGTGTCCAATTTACCAGTGTCGATTCAGTTGATAAAACCATTTTTTGTGTATTTCACTCCCGCACGCAGCACTACCGAAAAACTAACTACATTATTTTTTGAGGAATCAATTTTCAGCCACTCCTACATTTACATAAAAGAGGATCGACAGATCGGAGTTAACCGCATTTCACTCCTACGAGTGGAAAAGGGAAAACTCAAAGATTCCAGATTTCGTTTTTTAGTGAAAACCCAAAAAATAAATAGCACAGAGTAAAAGTTCTAACAACGAGGATTCATTTAATTGGTAACACCACAGGATTTCGTTCACAGATGCAAAACTTAGAAAGACAAATTATCTCGCCATAACTCGCTCTAGGGGTGAAAGAGTTAATACACTTCAGCTTCTGAATTCCTGAGGCCTATTTACCACGTAAAATCAGTAGAAAAGAGAATTGTGTTTTGTCACACTACCTTCCCACAAATAAATCATTAGGCACTAAACTAAACCCTTCCCCATAAACCATCCCGCAAGGAATTGACAAGAACAGAACTCGCGAGTAGTATAGGGCGCACCGGTTACTCCGGTTTTTTGCGGAGGATTCTCATTAGAGTGCGGAGGAATAAATTAACATCGCTGATGTCATAGGCTATTGTCTTGATCTCATGAATAAAATGCGCAGGAATCTCATTAAGATAAGGTCGTGTGCTATTTTAAGTTGGTTTAGGTTTTCTAGTTACTTTAAGGTCGATAAACGTCTTCGTTTTCTATTGGTTAGTTAGAAAATAAGAAAAGTTTTCATTGGTTAATTCATAGTGCCTGAGGAGTAAAGTCAAACTTGTCTCTGACTTAAAATCACTGAGACGTAACGTAATTATGCAAGTTCTATTTCCTGCTGCTGCGATTGTCCTGGTTCCGGTTCACTGATTTTTGGCAGGTAAATCGTGCATATTAACGAGGGCAAAGGCCAACTAGCTCTTTTTTACACTGCAAACAATGTTTTACTCACCCCTCTCCTTTTCATTTTTTTTTTTACTTTCCTCCTCCTCCACAATTTTATTATTTTCGTTCCTCAATTCCCTCCTCCTCCTCCTCCTCCTCATTTTTGATTTCCCTCCTCCTCCTCCTCCTCCTCCTCATTTTTATTGTTTTCCCTCCTCCTCCTCCTCATTTTTGTTTTCCCTCCTCCTCCTCCTCATTACTTCGACGGAGCGCGAAGTAAAGGTTTCGCGACGCTCAGGAATGTATCAAAGTTACAATTTTTTGACAAGATTGGGCATGCAAAGTCTGTAGGTTTTCGGTTTTATTCGGCTATTTGACGAAGTGAGAGCCGAATTAATTCGAGATATCTCGAGATCACTTCGATTTCTTTGATTTATTCTTTAACTTTTTCGAGGAAGAAAGAATTATTATTTTGGCTCTCCCGCGGTTTGAACCGACTCACCTGTGTGACCCGTCAGATCAGAGGAGACTCTAAGGGTGTGTTCCTTTCGGCGAATCCAAAAACGGATTTTGGATCCTAGATTTGCCAGATTTCGCGGTCGAAAGGAACGTGAAATCCGAAATTGGATTTGTAACCTTGGTAACCTTTCGCCAACGCGTGCAATATGCACAACAGCCTCTCAAGAAATGACGTGTTTTCTACTGTTTGACAAATTATACGATTATACAGTGCAGAATTTAGCGGTCGGCAGTTCGAATAGCGACGATGGAACATAAAACAGACAAAGAAAGAAGCGCATTAAAACTGAAAATTTTCTAAAGAATGTCGGCCAGTTTGATCCAGTTCCCTAGCTCGAATTTTTGTATGTAACACGATCGAGTGCCTGTCGCGTCTACAAGCGAGTTTGTAGTTAGATTGCAGTTCGTTTGTTACTTTTACTTATTTCTGATTTCAAGCAATCTTTAGAGACAAATGGTTAGTATATGGATATTTTAATGTACCAGGAACCATCTTCTAGTGTTTTCAGATGTTTTGCGGCAAATGACAGCAACGAGGAAACTCTACGGCCTCTATGGGAATACTTCAACTGGAAATACCGCTGGATCATCTGACTAATTTCGGATCCACTGTGAATGGAACAGCGTAGATCACTAATCCGTTAATCTGGATTTGGATTCTTCGGATTTCAAATCCAATGAATCCTTTTTCAAAAAGGATTCACCAGATCAAAAATCTGGATTTGGATTTGCCGAAAGGAACGCGAAATCCGTTCTTAGATCTAAAATCCGTTTTTGGATTCACCGAAAGGAACACACCCTAAGTTGAGGGATTAGCCGATTGCGCTACTGCGACCTAAGGTAGTTTGGGATATGAAAAATAGTTATGAAATGATGCACTAGTTTCGGGACAAGATTGGGCGTGCAAGGTCGTGACTTTTCGGCTTGTTTCAACTATTTCACGAAATGAGATCGGACTACTTCGTGATATCTTGAGATCACTTCGAGTTTAGTCTTTAATTACTCGAGGAATAAATAGAGGATATTTTGTGGCCGCGCAGAGACACGAAATGTCTCTTCGAGTGTTGAAAAACATTTCACGAGTGAGCCCTCCTTTCGAACTGTTTTATGATGAATTTAAAGTTACAAAATGCTGCAAAAAAACATTTTGTCTTTGTTGAGTGTTACGTAGTAAAATTGCTTTCATGCGTTGCGTGACTTTCTCGAACGTTCTCTACGTTTTTGGATTACCATGAATAATTAATTAGGGCATGTTTACATTTCAGCATGAGTCAGCAGATTTGCATCAGTTACTGAAATCATAAAATATGTCGAAAAGCTACTACTATTCGCCTGCTGTTTAGTATTTTCTAGAACCTTATGTCAAACGGTATACAAGTTCCAAGCGAGTTCTTTTGAAGAACTAAGTTTTTTCCCACGAGCTGGACTGCTGTGTTTAGTCAAGTGTGACGAAGGTCGATTTTCAGATATTGTGTTTAGAAGTTCGCGGATCGAAGCCGTAAGATATCTGAAGTTCAAGTGAGAGTTTGTTATTATTGGTAGAGGCTGTTTAGTGTTACTCAAAGTTCAAGTCAAGTTTGTATTGGTGGATGCTGTGTTTTAAAGCTCTGTAAAGGCTATGTTCCTTTGGTGTTAAACTTCCTTGTGTTAATCCGACATCCCTGCGTGCTGATAGTCAGTGAATAATTATCCTCAAAACATTCAAACTCGTGACTTTGAGTTTTAGCCAATTCCATGCTCAACGTAACTGACTCCTTAGCCATGCCTTACATATCTTTAATCAGTACATGAGACTGCTATGCTGTTTTTGAAGCCTGATGTGACTAAGAAAAATAGAGAATTGTTTTTTTAGAAGGATTTGTATGGAGTCATCAGAGCATAACTGGGCTAATATCTCGGAGACAATTTGTCCCGAAATGCTAGTTTTTGGCAAGTAGGCCTCTTGGATGTTGCTCTTTTCAGAATATCCTGACAAATCCCATAATTTCACAAATTAACACCTTACTCTTACCATATTTGATTTCTTACTATTCCTCCTCATTTAAAATTAATTAGTTCCACAACCACGACGCCGAAGTGTACGCTCCGTAGCGTCTTGTTTTTATTGTTTTCCCTCCTCCTCCTCCTCCTGATTTTTATTGTTTTCCCTCCTCCTCGTCCTCCTCATTTTTATTGTTTTCCCTCCTCCTCCCCCTCCTCCACCACCTCATTTTTATCGTTTTTCCTCGAAAAGGCCAAGAGGCTAAAATCAGGTCTATATGGCCAAACTCAAATGTGATAGTCAAAATGCGAACAAAAAATTCTGTGCTCACCAGATCCAACTTTGCGAAATATAAAGCACGCTCGAAATAGAGAGAGCGCGCGTCAATCTTGAGAAGTTTAAGTTTGGCTACTGAACGGATGAGAGTGACTCCAGCATGTTGAGTATCCATCTCCAAAGCAGGAGGGGGAAGGGGTGTGGCAGGGGGCACAAAAAAAATTTATGAACATGCGATTTGTCCATGCAGATCTTTCTACTTCCTATGTTGCTTTCAGTACTGAGACGGTTATAAACTTTATCATGCGTAAACAAACTTTACCTTCATCTCCCAAACATTTTGGGACATTTGATGCTGAAGTGCTACTTGGAGACAAAGGCCTTTTCCCCTCTTTTGAGCCTGAAATTAAACCACACTAGTGATGATCCAATTATTTTTGCCCACACACACCCACAGCTAATTCCCTACAAAACTTGTGTTTGTGTGTGTGTTTTTTTTTTGTTAAATAGGGAATTCACATGTACCTCCTTGAAGACATTTTTCAGGAAGAGGTTTCTCGAAGGCTAAACAGACTACCAAGGCCATCAGTCCATACGAAGTTTTACAGTCGTGATTGATTAATAAAGTCTATCGTTTATTAGAGAAGAGTACGGTAAAAACCCGCAACTAAGAACCTACATTTTTAGGAGTTAGCCTAAACAGGTTCTTATATAAATGGTAGTTAACAGAATTTTAGGCTATTTAGGTTCTTAAAATGGGTTCTTAATCCGGAGAAAAAACAGCTGCAAACAAGTTGGTCACTAGTATGCTTTGTAAGTCTACATATCTTGCACTCATTTTTCTTTAAAAATCATTTTTACAACAATGGCAATCTGCTTTTTTTGCTTCAAATATGATTCTTGCAATGCAGCTGTAATGTACTAGTATGATTTTAGAAAATAAGAACCTGTTTTAAATTTCTTAGGCTAAATAGGTTCTTGTTTATAGGGGTTATAAATTACCAATTTTAGGCTAACAGGTTCTTAATTTTTTACTGTTATTATACATTGTAGTCACCATCTGTCTTCTCATTGGCTAAAAGCCTACAGTTAATTCTGGGAAAGAGCGCAACCTACAGATTATTCACTAATCTGTACCTACAGATCAGTGAATAATCTGTAGGTTGCGCGCGCAATGCATGATTTCCTTTATAAAGACGGTGAAAATTTGTTTATCACTCAGTTGTACATTTTCAAGTGTTTGAAAATAAACTGTGATCGCTGCGATAATGCGTTTGTCGTTATTTTCTTCAAAACAATGTATAATAAAACAGTTATTAGATTCAGTTTTTGTGATATCCGGAATAATCAAGGTCTCGGTTAGTGTTATCAGCCGAAGCCGAAGGCTGAGGCTGATAACACTTACCTCGACCTTGATTATTCCGGATATCATAAAAACCGAATCTAATAATTGTTTATAATTAGGGGAGGGAAGGGGGGCTTATTAACTTTCTTCTCCTGAAAAGGGAGGGGGGTGTACTAGAGGCAGGGGGCTTATTTGAGAGGGCGAACTTAATAATATAACTTATTTAAGCACTTTGTCGATTTCTTCGCCTGCTAACTTGAATTTATTTTTCAGGTTCGGTTTGTTTGAAAACATGAGTGATGGCGGAAAAACCAGTCGGAAAGAAAAGTAAGCTTTCCTCTGCTATCTTCCGAACCTTATAGATTAGATGCTGTTCGTTCCCTTACGGTGCTTGTTTACTCGTGCATTCTAGGTTGTACTATGGGATAAATGTTCATTTTTTCGTACTAAATTAAAATTTAATGATTTCCCATGTTGTTTTTTAGCCGGAAGTAAAGGCAACTATTTCCAGTGGACTCAGCTGGGACATGATGTGGCTATGAGGAGCCCTGAGAGAGGATAAATATGCAAGAACATTACAGCAGTACTGAATTCTCTTCAGCAGCCGAAATTTAGCGTAACTACTAGTCAAGAGCTGTTCGAGATCGGTATACACTTTTAACTTCAAAACAAAAACAAAAGCTGTGCGACGAAGAGAAAGCCTCCATAATCGAATAATTCAAGTCGTAAAGGACAATAAATTCACCATCGTCGATTAAACCATCGTCATCAAGCTTATAAAATGCAAATTACGGAGGTCTTTGAGTGCCATAACAAGATTGTAACAAGACAAAGTTCTCGCAAAGAAAAAGTGGTCGTCTGTCTGGGAAGCTGGACTGCTTAAACTTCGTTTTCCCCGCCGAAAACGAAACCCTTGGCACAGTCTGCCTCGGTTGCGAAGCGTCGTCGTCGTCCGTTTCGTTGCCGATGCTTAAGGTCCCTAATCAGTTGCATCGTCCGCCGTGACATTGCGAATTACCAAGGTTGCCGGCGCCTGAACTTCAAATCGCCCCGATTGGAATGCTAAGTACAAAAACACCTCTCTATCTATCAGTCCGATCTTTTCATCGGCTCCGGTCCTGGTCCTTCGGAATTCAACCTCCCTGAATCGATCTCCACCAAGGGTATAGTTCCATCGCAGAACCACTTCGCTGTTGACCAGTACTTGAGTCGGGTTGTCGGGTTCTAAAGTGATGGACACACTCTCTGCAAGAAGTAACACAACTACATTTGAGTATTTCTTATGGCAGCTCATTAATAAACAATCTTTTAATGAGCTTGAATAAATCGATAAGCTTTCTACATTATTAACCCAAAGAAAAACGATAATTGTCTCATTTTCATTACTTTTCACACTGTCAAATTATAGATAAGCTTAAATGACGGAATTAGTTTTATTAGCTACGGTTGCATGCAAGTAGTAGCTAAACGAAGAACTTGCACGCTCGCATCGTTTACAGGGACCGTGGTCAAACTAAAGGAAAACAATTCAACTTACCGACGAATGGTACTTTCCTTAATGTAATAAACAAAATAATAAACCAGCAATTAGTCAAACTGTAAAACAGAACCCCCATTTCCACCGCAAAGCACGTGCAACGAGATCTGCAGAGCCGTCTACGGATCCCTCACCGCTTAACCGAGTTTTACAAACAGGCGCCGAGCTGCGAGACTTACAACATAAAACTCCCTTTTATTCGCTTTTTAGATTCATTAAAATTAATAACAGGATAGAAGCCATAGAAATGAAATACCTCAGCCACACTTTGGTCATTGACCAGGTGCGATCATAATTTCCCACCATTGACACAAACCGAGTCACCAACATTCACGCGCTCCCCTGAGACATAATATGCCTTATATCAGATCTATTTTGCACAGAGATAAGATTCCTGAGATATTTTACCCAATGCAAGAGAAGAAAACTCTGTTTGTCGGTCAGATTGTAGCACAGTTTGATCTCGTCTCCACAACTTCACGGCTCCGCGCTTCGCAGAATCTACGGTAGGTACTTCATGTATGGGGACATATATAGTACCGCTTTTACCTAATTAACTTATAACTTCACTCTTTCTGTTTGGTTCCTTGTTGCCTTAAAGCTTTGTTCTCTGATAACTTGTTGATCTGTTTCCTTGTTTGCTAATTACTCTGTTAACTTGTTACCTTGTTAACCTTGTTACTCTGTTACCTTGTTACCTTGTTACTCTGTTACCTTGTTACCTTGTTACCTTGTTACTCTGTTACCTTGTTACTTTGTTACCTTGTTACTCTGTTACCTTGTTACCTTGTTACTCTGTTACTTTGTTACCTTGTTACCTTGTTACTCTGTTACCTTGTTACCTTGTTACTCTGTTACCTTGTTACCTTGTTACTCTGTTACCTTGTTACCTTGTTACCTTGTTACTCTGTTACCTTGTTACCTTGTTACCTTGTTACCTTGTTACTCTGTTACCTTGTTACCTTGTTACCTTGTTACTCTGTTACCTTGTTACTCTGTTACCTTGTTTGTTACCTTGTTACCTTGTTACCTTGTTACCTTGTTACTCTGTTACTTTGTTACTTTGTTACCTTGTTACTTTGTTACCTTGTTACCTTGTTACTTTGTTACTTTGTTACCTTGTTACCTTGTTACCTTGTTACCTTGTTACTCTGTTACCTTGTTACCTTGTTACTCTGTTACCTTGTTACTCTGTTACCTTGTTACCTTGTTACTCTGTTACCTTGTTACTCTGTTACCTTGTTACCTTGTTACTCTGTTACCTTGTTACTCTGTTACCTTGTTACCTTGTTACCTTGTTACTCTGTTACTTTGTTACCTTGTTACCTTGTTACTCTGTTACTTTGTTACCTTGTTACTCTGTTACCTTGTTACCTTGTTACCTTGTTACTCTGTTACCTTGTTACCTTGTTACCTTGTTACTCTGTTACCTTGTTACCCTGTTACCTTGTTACTCTGTTACCTTGTTACCCTGTTACCTTGTTACTCTGTTACCTTGTTACCTTGTTACTCTGTTACCTTGTTACTCTGTTACCTTGTTACCTTGTTACCTTGTTACTCTGTTACTCTGTTACCTTGTTACTGTTACCTTGTTACTCTGTTACCTTGTTACCTTGTTACTCTGTTACCTTGTTACCTTGTTACCTTGTTACTCTGTTACTCTGTTACCTTGTTACCTTGTTACTCTGTTACCTTGTTACCTTGTTACTCTGTTACCTTGTTACCTTGTTACTCTGTTACCTTGTTACCTTGTTACCTTGTTACTCTGTTTCCTTGTTACTCTGTTACCTTGTTACTCTGTTACCTTGTTACTCTGTTACTCTGTTACTCTGTTACCTTGTTACCTTGTTACTCTGTTACCTTGTTACCTTGTTACTTTGTTACTCTCTTACTTTGTTACCTTGTTACCTTGTTACCTTGTTACTCTGTTACCTTGTTACTCTGTTATCTTGTTACTCTGTTACCTTGTTACCTTGTTACCTTGTTACTCTGTTACCTTGTTACCTTGTTACTCTGTTACCTTGTTACCTTGTTACTCTGTTACCTTGTTACCTTGTTACTCTGTTACCTTGTTACCTTGTTACCTTGTTACTCTGTTACCTTGTTACTCTGTTACCTTGTTACTCTGTTACCTTGTTACTCTGTTACCTTGTTACTCTGTTACTCTGTTACCTTGTTACCTTGTTACTCTGTTACCTTGTTACCTTGTTAGTTTGTTACTCTGTTACCTTGTTACCTTGTTACTCTGTTACCTTGTTACCTTGTTAGTTTGTTACTCTGTTACCTTGTTACCTTGTTACTCTGTTACCCTGTTACTCTGTTACCTTGTTACCTTGTTACTCTGTTACATTTTTATCCTGTTACCTTGTTACCGTGTTACTCTGTTACCTTGTTACCTTGTTACACTGTTACCTTGTTACCTTGTTACTCTGTTACCTTGTTACTCTGTTACCTTGTTACGTTGTTACTCTGTTACATTTTTATCTTGTTACCTTGTTACCGTGTTACTCTGTTACCTTGTTCCCTTGTTACCTTGTTATCTTGTTACCTTGTTACCTTGTTACTCTGTTACCTTGTTACCTTGTTACCTTGTTACTCTGTTACTCTGTTACTCTGTTACCTTGTTACCTTGTTACCTTGTTACCATGTTACCTTGTTACCTTGATACCTTGTTACCTTGTTACTCTGTTACCTTGTTACTCTGGTAACTTGTTACCTTGTTACTCTGTTACCTTGTTACTCTCTTACTCTGTTACCTTGTTACCTTGTTACTCTGTTACCTTGTTACTCTGTTACTCTGTTACCTTGTTACCTTGTTACTCTGTTACCTAGTTACCTTGTGACCTTGTTACCTTGTTACCTTGTTACTCTGTTACCTTGTTACCTTGTTACTCTGTTACCTTGTTACCTTGTTACTCTGTTACCTTGTTACCTTGTTACTCTGTTACCTTGTTACATTGTTACTCTGTTACCTTGTTACTCTGTTACCTTGTTACCTTGTTACACTGTTACCTTGTTACTCTGTTAGTCTGTTACCTTGTTACCTTGTTACCTTGTTACTCTGTTACCTTGTTACTCTGTTACCTTGTTACCTTGTTACTCTGTTACCTTGTTACCTTGTTACTCTGTTACCTTGTTACCTTGTTACTCTGTTACCTTGTTACCTTGTTACTCTGTTACCTTGTTACTCTGTTAGCTTGTTAGCCTGTTACACTGTTACCTTGTTACTCTGTTAGTCTGTTACCCTGTTACTCTGTTACCTTGTTACGTTGTTACTCTGTTACATTTTTATCCTGTTACCTTGTTACCGTGTTACTCTGTTACCTTTTTCCCTTGTTACTTTGTTAATCTGTTAGTCTGTTACCTTGTTACTGTGTTTCCTTGTTACCTTCGTTTTACCTCGTTAGTCTGTTACCTTGTTGCTTCGTTACCTTGTTACTCTGTTAGCTATTACCTGAAGATATCTAGGAATGTGTGTAGACGTAATACGTCATATGCACACTTGTCAGAGTTAAAGCGCACTTACTATTGAGATGCCTAGGACGTCATTATCAGTCAGTACCAGATTGTGGTAATGTTTAACTTCCCCCGCGGCCTTGTTTGACGGTTTGTATGGTATGGCGTGGCAGTGCGTAAAGAACTGTAAAAGAAAAAGAAATGCGATATATATGTCCAGGAACGATCTTGTTAGCAAATTCTCTCCGCAATTTTCGCAAAGAAAATAATTCGCAGAAAATTTTATGAGACAATCACTTGCAAATATCGCATGAGTAGAAAAACCAATAAAACAAAATTCTAGACTTTTTAAAAAATCGCAAAAGTAACAAGGATTTTTCCTGCTACCTAAAAACACTGAAAAGGTAAGAAATATCGCAAAAATAGCAAGAATGACAAATTTAAAAAATTCTAGACTAACAAAGAAAAATGGTTAGGTAGGGCCTTCAAAAGCCCTCAAATCTCGCAGAAATCGCAAAACTAACAAGGATTTTTCTTGCTATGTGAAGAGATTGAGTACTTGTAATATCGCAAAAGCAAGAATAAAAAAATTAAATAAATTCTAGACTTAGAGAGAGAAAAGGCCAAGAAGGTGAATTCTTTTCACAAATTCTTTTTTTTTTTCGATTTATGGGAAAATTCGAGGCCTTCTCGTGGCCCTTCCGCATTGTCTTAATCTTTTCACATGGCAAGAAAAATTCTTGTTAATTTTGCGATCTTTGCGAAATTTGCGGACTTCTCGAAGTCCGTCTAGGTCTTTCTTCTTTCTAAGTCTAGAATTTTGTTAAATTTGTTATTTTTGCAATTTTTGCCATATTTGTTACTCAATCTTTTCACACGCGAAGCAGTCGCAAGCAGTGAAGTTGGAACAGCGAAGGTGTATCGCCATCAAAATTTATGTGTGTCGGTGACCTATACTAGCGACAGCAGCGTTTTTATTACTTGCGAATTAAGGAAACTATATAATAGGCTATCGCAATACGCTACTCTGCTTGTTATAAAAGTAAGAACTAACAATTCATGCAGCTGCTGGACAACCTGTTTAATACTTTCTAATGATCTACGGATGATAATGATAACAATGATAAAAGGCCGACAAAGAAGGCTTTAAATTGACATAGCCTATCATGTTCAAGTTCATAAGTTCTTCCTCCATGTTTTGTAAAGTCTTGACCTAGTACTTACTGACAAGAAATATAAATTAAGAAACTAACAACGTTACAGGGCATATAATCACCTTTGATTCTTAGGAAGGGTTATTTCTACACTTACTGGAGATTTACCCTTGTGTACTTTTTCTTTTGTATTCCGTCCATTAAATCATGAAATTGTTACTCTAATTCTCAAACCTTCAATATACAACCAAGAGCCATAATGGGAAAACAAGGAGACCGTCAAGACAACCATTTTTGTTTTAATCTTTATTTTTCAACTGATTAAATTAAAAGAAAAAACATAATTCAGTAACTGTTAAAAACGACAAATTTTCGATATCTTTAATTTTCCTTAGTTGCTATACTAAATTGCTGCTGTAATCACAGTAATAAGACTTCGAAGACGTTTTATTTGGACATTAAAAACCTTTGTTGTCTTACAAAAATAAAAACCAAAGACTGAGACTTGAAGGTCTTTTTCTACCCGGTGTCGTTGCCTACTATGAATATATTCAATCCTCTTCTGCTGTCATTTGCATTTCACTGTCGTTCACACCATTTTGTCTTCTTATTTCATCAGTAAGCGGTGATAACAGGACTAATGACCGAGGATACTTACATCGTAACACGGCTTGACACTAATTTAGAACATCAAATAACAAGTTATTGACAAGTTTGAGAACTATCGACAGTTTTTTTCCTTCAAGTTCACATGTCCTTTCGTACCCGAGTGAACTTCTTTCGCCGTTTTGATTCCTTTTCTATAGAAAAAAGGGCAAATATATTCTTATTAGCTAAATGATGGTGTAATTTTAAACCATTTATAATGTATACGTTTATGTTTACAAGCCCGGTCAAGTTAGGCTTTCATATAAAGATAATTCATTGAACTTTACTTTATTCATTCCCACCTGAAAAGGTGTTGAAAATTAGACATTTTAGAAACTGCAGTTATACCAAAATGAAAGCACCCTTTTCACTCTTGACCCTGTTTACAAGGAGGGAGGGTGACCCTGGTGCCATGGAGTGGTATCGGGGTCCAAAAATAACTCGATGTCTATTTTCTATGTCATCTTGTCTAATTGTTCGGTCGTCTTGCCAATTTGTCATGTCATCTTGTCTACCTGTTGTGCACTCTTGCCGATTTGTCATGTTGTCTTGTGTACAGAACAAGTAGAGAAGAAGACAGAAAAAAGGACAACGAATTATTTTTCACCCCTATACCGCTGCATAGGTACTAGGGTTACCCTAGCAAAGGGGTTACCCGAGCACTAGCACATTTCCTCTTGTTTTAACACAACTCGTTTACAAGGCAGGTAGGTCGTAAGGTTACCCTAGTGCTAGGCGAACCCTACCTAAGTGTGAGGGCTACCCTACCTGCATTGTTAACGCTTTTTATTCGATATTATTTGATTTCCGTCAAAGAGAAAAAATGTACCAAATAAAGCTAATTGCTGCTAATTACCATAAACAAAAAACGAATTGTAATGCAAACCATTCAACCACGACCATACTCCAAAAGAACGCGTCCAATCGTGAAAAACCAATTGCGACTTGTCATACAAAAATAAACCAAACTTTAGACAACAGGGTAACAGAGTAACAAGGTAACAAGGTAACAGAGTAACAAAGTAACAAGGTAACAGAGTAACAAGGTAACAAGGTAACAAGGTAACAGAGTAACAAGGTAACAAGGTAACAGAGTAACAAGGTAACAAGGTAACAAGGTAACAAGGTAACAAGGTAACAAGGTAACAAAGTAACAAGGTAACAGAGTAACAAGGTAACAAGGTAACAAGGTAACAGAGTAACAAGGTAACAAGGTAACAGAGTAACAAGGTAACAAGGTAACAGAGTAACAAGGTAACAAGGTAACAGAGTAACAAGGTAACAAGGTAACAGAGTAACAAGGTAACAAGGTAAAAAGGTAAGAAGGTAACAGAGTAACAAGGTAACAGAGTAACAAGGTAACAAGGTAACAAAGTAACAGAGTAACAAGGTAACAAGGTAACAGAGTAACAAGGTAACAGAGTAACAAGGTAACAAGGTAACAGAGTAACAAGGTAACAAGGTAACAAGGTAACAGAGTAACAAAGTAACAGAGTAACAAGGTAACAAGGTAACAGAGTAACAAGGTAACAAGGTAACAGAGTAACAAGGTAACAGGGTAACAGAGTAACAAGGTAACAAGGTAACAGAGTAACAAGGTAACAAGGTAACAAGGTAACAGAGTAACAAGGTAACAAGGTAACAGAGTAACAAGGTAACAGAGTAACAAGCTAACAAGGTAACAAGGTAACAAGGTAACAGAGTAACAAGGTAACAGAGTAACAAGGTAACAAGGTAACAGAGTAACAAGGTAACAAGGTAACAAAGTAACAGAGTAACAGAGTAACAAGGTAACAAGGTAACAGAGTAACAAGGTAACAAGGTAACAGGGTAACAGAGTAACAAGATAACAAGGTAACAGAGTAACAAGGTAACACGGTAACAAGGTAACAGAGTAACAAGGTAACAAGGTAACAGAGTAACAAGGTAACAGAGTAACAAGGTAACAGAGTAACAAGGTAACAAGGTAACAGAGTAACAAGGTAACAAGGTAACAAGGTAACAAGGAAACAAGGTAACAAGGTAACAAGGTAACAGAGTAACAGAGTAACAAGGTAACAGAGTAACAAGGTAACAAGGTAACAGAGTAACAAGGTAACAAGGTAACAGAGTAACAAGGTAACAAGGTAACAGAGTAACAAGGTAACACGGTAACAAGGTAACAGAGTAACAAGGTAACAAGGTAACAGAGTAACAAGGTAACAAGGTAACAAGGTAACAAGGTAACAAGGTAACAGAGTAACAAGGTAACAAGGTAACAGAGTAACAAGGTAACAAGGTAACAGAGTAACAAGGTAACAAGGTAACAGAGCAACAAGGTAACACGGTAACAAGGTAACAGAGTAACAAGGTAACAAGGTAACAAGGTAACAAGGTAACAGAGTAACTAGGTAACAGAGTAACAAGGTAACAAGGTAACAAGGTAACAAGGTAACAGAGTAACAGAGTAACAAGGTAACAGAGTAACAAGGTAACAAGGTAACAAGGTAACAAAGTAACAGAGTAACAGAGTAACAAGGTAACAAGGTAACAGAGTAACAAGGTAACAAGGTAACAGAGTAACAAGGTAACAGGGTAACAGAGTAACAAGGTAACAAGGTAACAGAGTAACAAGGTAACACGGTAACAAGGTAACAGAGTAACAAGGCAACAAGGTAACAGAGTAACAAGGTAACAGAGTAACAAGGTAACAGAGTAACAAGGTAACAAGGCAACAAGGTAACAAGGTAACAGAGTAACAAGGTAACAAGGTAACAGAGTAACTAGGTAA